CTTCGCTGTGGCCCTTCAGTCAGAGTAGGAGCTTATGGAGCCAGATGATCAGTGGAGTTTTAACTCAGATCTGTCTCACAATAGGTCCACAAGGTCCTTGACCCATCTTGTGTTTCTTTCCCCCAGTTCCAGAATGCATAATTAGATTGGACATACTTAGCAGCTGGCAGAAGGCCTACCTTGGTTCTTCAACCTGTGAATTAAAGGTTATTATAGTGGGAGAAGTCAAGTGAAAGCAACTAGACCTGGCTCTAGAAAAATGGCAAATCAAAAGCAATATGGTATTATTGGGGGGGGGGATTTCAGAGATTAGTGTCACCGATAAGGACTTGAAAGATGCAGGGCTAGTGATTCCCATATTTCTATTCAAAGTACCTACTTGATGTGTGTAGAAGAAAGATGGATCCTGGAGCATGATTATGGATTATTACTGTAAACTTAACCAAGGGATGACTCTAATTGCATCGCATCTACCAGATGTGGTTTTCTTTCTTGAGTAGATTAACACATCTGCTGGTACCATGTATGCAGATACTGAACTGGAAAATGCCTCCATATCTGTGTGTAAGACACATTGGAAGCAGTTTGCTTTTGACTGCCAAGAGCAGCAATGTGCCTTCCATCCCATCTCAAGCATATATCGTTTCTCTAGGTCAGTACTAGGCACACTTTAGTTTGTAGGAATCTTAATCTTTCTCTTCCACAAGATATTACACTGGTCCATTACATTAATGACATTATGCTGACTAGAACTAGTGAGCAAGAAGTAGCATATTCTTGGTAAAATATTTGTGTGTCAAAGGGTGGGAAATACATCCAGCTAAAATCCACCGGACTTCTACCTCAGTGAAATTTCTAGGGATCCAGCAGTGTGGAGCTTGTCAAGATAACCCTTCTAAGTGGATTTATTACATCTGGCCTCTCCTTCAGTTACAGAACAGGCAAAATACCCCCAGTAGGCCTCTTGGGATTTTGGCAACAATGAATTCCTTATTTGGTTGTGTTAGTCCAGCCCATTTATTGAGCAACCTCGAAAAGCTGCTAATCTGAATGAGGCCCAGAACAACAGAAGACTCTGCCCTCTGTTCAGGATGCTATGCTACTGGATAATATGCCCAGCAGATCCAATCATGCTTGAAGTGTCACTGGCAGACAGGGTACCTTTTTGGAAACCTTGCCAGGCTCATAAAGCGAATTGCAGCACACGCCTTGGAAGCAAGGCTCTGACTTCATTTGCAGAGAGCTCTTCACCTGTTGCTAGGACTTAACTAGAAACTGAACATGACCTTGGGTCACCAAGTTACTATGATCTGAACTGCCAATCATGAAATGGGTCAAGCGATAAACTGGGCATGCACGGCTGCTGTTCATCATCAGATATAAGTGGTATATATGTGATATATATGTGATTGGGTCTGAGCAGGTCTTGAAGGCCTAAGTTACATGAAAAAGTGGCCTAAAGGCCTAGGGTTTCTACTCCTGCTATACTCCCTTCTCTCTCCCAGCTTGCACCTCTGGCCTCATGGGTTGTACAATTAGCTGAAGAGGAGACTAGGGCCTGGATTGCAGATGGATTTGCATGATGTGGAGGCAACACAGAAACTGTAGCATTGGAGCACTACAGTGTCTTTATGGAACTCCCCAGGGGAACAGTGGTAAAGGGGATTTCTTTCAGTGGGCAGAACATAGGGCAGTGAACCGGGTTATGCTCTTTGCTTGGGAGGAGGAATGGCCAGATACATTTTTACTGACTCATGGGCTGTAGCCAATAGTTTGGATGGATGGTCAGGGACGTACACAGACCATGATTGGAAAGTTAATGACAAAGAAATGACGAGCCAGGCGCGGTGGTGCACGCCTATAATCCCAGCTGCTTGGGAGACTGAGGCAGGAGGATCAAGAGTTCAAAGTCAGCCTCAGCAAAAGAGAGGTGCTAAGCAACTCCGTGAGACCCTGTCTCTAAATAAAATAGGGCTGGGGATGTGGCTCAGTGGTACAATACACCTGAGTTCAATCCTGGGTAGCCCCCAGCCCTCCCCAAAACAAATAAATCTTGGGATAGATGTGAAATATGAAGAAATGCATAGATTGATCTCTGTTCACACTCAGTGGTACAGAGCTCTTAAAACTTTAAAATTCTCTGAGTGATAGGGGTGCTGGGAGAATCTTTTATTCTAGTATTTGGTACTTGACACCAGCTCCTGATTTGAAGCTCTAACGTTTTTTGTATGTCCTCAGTGATAGGAGACTCTTTTTTTGTTCTAATGATGTGATTCTTGGTGGCCTCTGGTTCGCCTCAGGCTAGGTGCTGGTTGCAAAGGGAAACAATGATGTAAGTAGAAGTTTGGAACTTTCAGCTTCAACCATGACCTCCAGAGAGGAGACGGGCTGAAAATTGAGTTAATCACCAATGGCCAACCATGTAACTGGTCCTGCCTATATAATGATGCCTCCATAAAAGACCCAGAGGACTGAGTTTGGAGGGCTAGTAGATAGCTGAACATGTGGAGGTTCCTGGAGGGTAGCCTTCCCAGAGAGGGCACAGAAGCTCTGGGTCCTTTCCCACATACCTTCCATACCTTCCCTATGTGTCTCTTATAGGTGGCTTTGATCCATACCCTTTAGGATAAACTATATGTAAATGTTTCCTTGAGTTCTGTGAGCTGCTCTAGCGAGTTAATTGAACCCAAGGAAGGGGTCATGGGAATTTACACCAGTTGGTCAGAAACGCAGGTCACAACCTCTGTTTGCAATTAGCTTCTGAAGTGGAGGACAAGGCAGTGGGACTGAGCTCTCAACCTTCAGGACTTATTACTGCAGGTAGGTAGTATCTCCAGGTAAGTAGTATCAGAATCGAAATGAGGGACATCCAGTTGGTGTCCACTTCTGAATTTCTTGCTTGGTTGTTGGTGGGATGAAAACACCATCCTTATATACTTTAGTGACCAGAGGTGACAAAAGCGTTGTGTGTTGTATTGAGAATACAGAATAGGGAGAGTGCTTTGGTTCCTCACCTGCCCCCACAATAGATCTCAGAACACGTGTTTGTGTCCTGTGTAAGGGTTTATTGAAAGGTGAACTCAGCAGAGGAGGACTTCAATAACCACACAGTTACTAATCAGCCTCTTTCTCCAATTACCCTTATCATCACCTGATAGGCCTATGAACATGGAAGGGATGGAAGTTATGCATGACTCAGTAGCACGGATTCCACTCACCAAGGCTACAGACACTGCTAAGTGCCCAGAATGCCAGCAGTAGAGATCAACATGGAGCCTCCACTACTTAACTATTTCCTGGGCTGATCAGCTAGCTATCTGGTTGCAGATTGATTACAAAGGACCACTTCCATCATAGAATGGGCAGCATTTTGTCTTTATTGGAATAGACATTTACTCTGGATAAGGACTTATCCTCCTGCATGCAATGCTTCTGCAAAATTACCACCCATGGACTTATAGCATGTCTTATCCACTGGCATTCCACACAGCATAGTTTCTGACCAAGGAATATATCACTAAATTGAAAAATTCACTAGGGGAGTTCAACACCAAACTTGAGCAAGTAGAAGATTCAGCAAGCTTGAAGATAATCAATCCTAAGGGACTATGGAACATCATAAAGAGGTCCAATACACAGACACACATCTTCTCCAAGAGAAGAAGAAAGAAATAAGAGAGCTTATTTGAGGAAAGTATGGTCCCAAACCCCCCAAATTCAGGAGTTAAACAACAGTCTCCTAAACTGGATAGCTGACTATATTTTTAAAGCATTTAAATTTATCCACTACTTAAAGTTATTTTTGTTCAGTGAAGAAATAAACATGAAAAATATTTACCCTGGGTGCAGTGGTATACATTTATAATCCCAATGACTCAGGAGGTGGAGGCAGGAAAATCAAGAGTTCAAGGACAACTCAGTGAGACCCTGTCTCAAAAAATAAAAAGGGCTGGGGATAAAGCTCAGTGGTAGAGTGCTTTCCTAGTATGTGTGAGGCCCTGGATTCAACCTCCAATACTGGGTGGGGGTGGGAAGGGTAGGAGGAGAATCAAACCTGCAGCTCCGTCTTATATGGGCCAGGTCTGAGGAGAAAAGGTTATAAAAAGGGACAATTTCCCCTTAACACTAATAAATTCCTATGACAATATATTAAAAAATTTTTTTTGTAGTTGTAGATGGACATCATGCCTTCATTTTATTTATTTTTTTATGTGGTACTAAGGATCGAACCCAGTGCCTCACACATGCTAGGCACGTATTCTGCCACTGAGCTCCTCTATGTTAAGGAAAAATCACATTAACTCTGTCCTATAACCCTAGGAAGTTGCTATTTTAAGTGGTTTTTCAAAATCATGATATAAAAGTAATATTAGATACTCTTTAAAAACATAAAGTATGGACCCTAGAAAAATAAATCCACATACAAAAGTTTGCCTAAAATTTCAGAAGTTTTACAGCTTGTTTGAAACCCATCCATATATGCCTAATATATCTGTGGGAACCTCAGGTTCACACAACTTGAGTACTGTTTTCTCATGCCTAAATTGAAGAGGTAGGATAAATGATCTATGAAGTTCTTCCAGCTGAAGTGCAATGAAGAACAAAGTCTAATAATATACTAACCTATTTGGAATACTTGCATGGGGAATGGGATGAGTTGGTTAACAGAAAAGTCAGAAAGAAGTTTTGTAGTTATTAAAGCATAAGGAAGATTATGACCACAAGTTAAGAGGAGAGAGCTTCCGCTATCCTTTAAGAATTTAAGAAAATATGTGTATAATTTCATAGCAAAATCCTGAAAGACAGCACGAAGAGAGAATCTCACTAAGAAATCTTTAATAGTACATGGAGTTGTGATTCAGAAATACTAATTAAACATTTAATGAATGTTCAAGGTATTAGATAAAAAAGTTTATAATTTTTAATAAATGACGTTTTACTTATAAAGTCAAAAGTGAATAAGTTTACATTAATAAAAACATACAATTTATGAGAGGAAATTTCCTTCAATAATTTTATTCTTTGCAATATATATAAATAAATAATACAATTAAACTTTTTAAAAAAGTGTTACCACATGCAAGAAGAAGGTATAGCTGTCATTATTCTAAATTACTGGAATAAATTAATTTGTTGTTCCTTTATTTTCTAATTCTAGTGGCAAAGTGAAAAATAAATTGAAGTTAAGTTGGACTGTGACATCACTGCCATGAATAGACACATATAGTAACTGCATCATTTCCAAACATGGAATGCAAGGCCTCTAGAAAAGTGACAGAGGGGAGCCTACTGAGTTTTGCACTCGGGTGCATCTTTTCCTGAGGTGTACCAAGGTCCTGGCTTAGGATCCACACATTCTGCTCCTATGGTTTGTTCCTCTGACAAAGAAAATAAAAGCCAAAATTAATCCTGTTAGAGAGATATCAGTTATCTGTGGTCTATCATGGTACAAAAATACTAAATAGAAAATTCTAAAAATAAACAATTCAGAACTTTTAAATAGCATGCCACATTGAGTGGGGATGAAATTCATTGTTCCACTCCATCCCACCCTGGTGTATCCATGCTGTATGCATGTGCTACCACACTCCAGTCACCTGGCAGCCATCTCAGTTACCAGATGGACTGTAGCAGTATTGCAGTGTCTGTGTTCAAGTAACCCTTATTTTATTTAACAATGGCCCTCAATTGCTTAAAATCTTTCAAAGACTACTTCCACCTACTCTCAGGGTAAGTAAAAATTCCTTTATGTAATTTATGGAAGTCCTGCACATCTGACTTACCTCTTTCTCTCTTTGGCCTGACTTTATCCACATGATTGCTAGACTGTTCAGTGGTGACACCACATTTCTCTACCCCTGGTCGTGGTCTCTCTTACACTGGGGCTGTCACTGTTTCATCTGCCTGAAATTTCTTTCCCTCCCCCACTTTGTTAAGCTAATTCACATTAGTCTTTTATATCTCAGTTCCCTTCCTGGAGGAAGACTTCCTCAATATTCCTAAACAACAACAACAACAACAACAAAAGTACCTATTATATGTCTCATAGACTTTTGTATTTCTAAAACTTTACTTAAAAAAAAATATATATATAATTTCCCCCGATTTATGATTGAGTTACATCCTAATAAGCGCATTTTAAGTAGAAATATCTGAAGTAAAAAATGCATTTAATACCTTCATCTATAGAATGTCATAGCTTACTTATCTAACCTACCTTAAATATGCTCAGACCAGTGACATTAGCCTACAGCTAGACAAAACAATCTAACACAAAGCCTACTGGTGAATATTGAATACCCTGTGTAATTTTTTGGAATACTGTCCAAAACTGAAAATCATAATACTTACATGGGTATGCTTTCACACCACTGCAAAGTCAAAAGATCCTGTGGTTAACATAGTAGGGAAATACTGTACTACCCATACTATGTATACATACTGTAGTAATATATTAGGGAAACATCTGTACTTGATTATTGTCTGTACTTGATTATTGTCTGGTTTATTTATCAATGTATCATCAGAGTAGGGGTTCAAAAGATTTTTCTCATTAAATGAATAAGTACATATGGTAATCTATCATCTGGCTTGTGTAAAATGAATATGTCAATGAAATGATAGGCCCACTGAATTGACTTCAAAGCCTTTTTAGTAGCAGTTTTGTTTATAGGGTAGTTTCTTTATGTCCTTGATTTGTTGCTTGTCTATCTTTGGAGAAAACTGTAGAGGCAGAATAAAGACTTCAGTTGGTATAAGAGTGACTACATGTCACTGTGCTTTGGAGAAAAACTGACTTTCTTACAGAGGGTCAGCAAACAAAGTCTGTGCACTGTAGCTTTCTTAACCAAATTTCTTATCTAAACTTGACATTTGGGGCCAAATATTAAAGACAAGTTCCAAATGTTATCCCCTGGCTTCCAAGTAACCTTTATATTTACTTACCTGGGCAAAGGCCGAGACTTGAGTTATCAAAATAACGAACTGGATGAGGTGCTGGTAAAGACTTGGATCGGTTATCAAAAAACCAAGATTTTGGCGATTCCTTTGGTACAGGATTTTGTACATTTTGTTCCTTGTATTGAGATGGTATATTTTGTATCTTTTTAGAATCTGTTCCAGTCACTTTGGGAGATTTTGGAGAATTCTCACAAGTTACTTCTTTGCAAACCTCTCTTTTAAGGGTTCTTTCCTTCCAAGTTTTGACCTCATTGGAAAGATGCCGGTTATTGCTTAAGTGTAGGTAAGAAAAATACATAAATAAATAAAAAGGAAGATTGCTAGACTGTTCAGTTCTTAAAACATATCCACATAAAAAAAATCGATAACAAAAAACTGTGGTGAAATATACTTAACATAAAATTTACCATTTTACCACATTAATATTTTAATTTCAACCTAATGCTTTTTGTTTGGACTATTTCCACAGTTCAAAAAGTGAAATGGGTCTATATAAATTGAATAATTTCAGTAAAACTTTGTCATCATGGAGTTTAAAAATTCCAAGTATAATACTAGGTTTTCAAATTAACTGATATCATCTGGATTGGTTTGTCTATTGATATTTTGAATGTAATAATTTAGTCTTTGATGTGATAAATTAGTCTTTCTGGACAGACAAATCTTGTTTGATGAAGCTTTATTTAAAAAATTACATTTCTTGGGGGAATCCAAGATGGCGAGCCAGAGGGAGGCAGCATTCTGTGTTGCTCTGTGACCCAGGTCTCACCTAGTGGGAATACTGCTTCTCTGAGAGTGATAGGGGACCCCTAAACAGCTGCTCTTGCACAGAAATCACCAGTGCTGTGCCTGCACAGGGCTCTGGGGCTCAGTGTCGGAGCAGGACTCCAGGCTCCTGTGTCCCCCCACCCAAATACTAGCCCCGAAGCATTAGCCCACACAGAGCTCCCGAGTGTATTAGCAGGATCACTGCATCAGCACAGGTACAGAACTCCCAGATGCTGTTCCACACCAACACAGTACAATCAGTCACTACCCACCCACAGGAACTCCGCCGCCACTTCCTAGAGACCCCATCTACCAATGTGAGACTCCCCAAGTCGCCTCCATCTTGTGACTGACTCTGCAGCTACTGCCATATTCCCCTATGCGGTAATCTACCTGCACCCAGGGACATCTCACGGGCTCTGAAGACAGCCAAAAGCCCCAAGGCTGCATGCCACAGAGCTCATCTCTGAACACATCACACACTATTGCCAGGCTTCCTCCACCCGACTAGGCCTGCCTCCATCTTGGGATACCTTCATCACTATGTTTGGTGGGGGCAGCTCCCAGATTGGAACTTCCGCTGACCAGGTACCCAGTTTCCAACTCCTGCCTCTTCCCAGTGGCCAGTAACCCAGAACAGTAACTACCAAACACAAAACAGCTCTCAGCGGGATGGGTGTGCAGTGCAACCAGGGCACTGCCCAAGAGAGCCCCAGTGGGAGAGGTCCCTAGAAGGAGAAGGTAAGACAGTGTGGAGGCTAATAGAGAGACCAGGAACTGGGAAACCTTCAGGCAAGATAGGGGGATAGGACCAGGTGCCCAAGTCATAGGAGCGGAACCAAAAAGAGACCCTTGAAATGCAGTCTCCCTACAGGGACTGGCGGGTGCCACACCTCACATCCAGGTGCCCTGTCCCAGAACCAGCATTCCCACCCTGGTTACCTTCACCATCATGAGGGTGGAGATACCATCTAACAACAAACCCACCTACTGAAGGGAATGGGAAGCAGGAAAGAAACTCATCTCCAACCAAAACAATTAACAATCCTAGTTTCTTCCTTCGAGATTTAAAAAAATTTTTTTCATTATTATTATTATTATTTTTTTTTTACTTTTTTCTCTTTTTCTTCTCCCCCTCTATCCTCCTACCCTCACATCCTCAACATATATGAAAACAAGTACTTTGTATCAACTAGGATTTTGAGGACTGGAACGTCTGAATAGTATATTATACTGGTGTTGAATATGCCTTTTTTTCTTCTTTTTTTCCTCCAATTTTTACTATTTTAATATCCTTTATTTTTCATAATACATATGTATTTGTTTTATGTACTCTACTGTCTTCCCACATACTTGTCTCCCCCAAACTACTTCCTATCTATTCTCCTGCTACTAATGCTCTTCATTATTTCTCTTCCACACTTCCTAAGATATACTAACTCTATATTCTCACATCCTGCCTCCTCAGCAGATCATCCTACACCTCATTCCCAGTTCATTGTACACCGTCAGAAACTGTAAACCCTTTTACAAACCTACTGATTACATTATAGATAATAATCAAATTCAACATTTCTGTACATTGTGACCAAACTGTATAGGTCTTAATAGCAATGAATTGTTTATAGGTGGTATATTGTTTATATTGGGATCTGTTAACATTGTCCTTCCCCACAAAGGAGATATATTGGAACCCTACAGGAACACCATAAGCTTATAGGGTAAAAACAATAACACCCTGGACCCACAGAGCTGAAAAGGAAGATACACAAGCAAAAGGGAGAAAAGTGCCCCAAACAAATCAAGACACCACATTATTAGAATCATTAGCAGCCACAGCAGAAGAAATGACAGAGAAGGAGTTTAGGATGTACATGGTTACAATGGTCTGTGAATTAAAGGATGGTAAAAGAGAGCAAATACAGGCAGCAAAAGATCATTTCCACAAAGAGCTACATAAACAGATACAGGAAGCAAAAGATTACTTCAACAGGGAGACAGAGGTTCTAAAAAAACAAAAACAAAAACAAACAAATCCTTGAAATGAAAGAAACAATAAACCAAATTAAAAGTTCAACAGAAAGCATCACCAACAGAGTAGACCACTTGGACGACAGGACCTCAGACAACAAAGACAAAATATATAATCTTGAAAGAATGTAGACCACACAGTGAAAATGGTAAGAAACTATGAGCAGAACATTCAAGAAATATGGGATATCATAAAAAGACCAAATTTAAGAGTGGTTGGGATAGAGGAAAGCATAGAATTTCAAACCAAGGAATGAACAATCTATTCAATGAAATAAAATCAGAAAACTGAAGAATGAATTGGAAAACCAAATTCAAGAAGCTTACAGGACACCAAATCACAACAGATCCATACCAAGGCACATTATAATGAAAATGCCCAACTACAGAGTAAGGAGAGAATATTAAAAGCCATGAGAGAAAGGAATCAGATTACATATAGGGGAAAACCAATTAGGGTAACTGCAGATTTTTCAACCCAGACTCTGAAAGCTAGAAGATCCTGGAACAATGTATCTCAAGCTCTGAGATAATAGATGCCAACCAAGAATCTTGTATCTAGCAAAATTAAGCTTTAGATTTGATGATGAAATAAAAACCTTCCATGATGAACAAAAGTTAAAAGAATTTACAGTTAGAAAACCAGCCCTACAGAACATCCTTGGTAAAATATTCCATGAAAAGGAAACGAAAAACAATGAAAATCATCAGAGGGAGGTAGTACCCTAAAGGAAAAACCAATCAAAGGAGAAACCAAGTGAAGTTAAATACCCAAAATAAGCAAAAGTGGCTAGAAATACAAATAATGTCTCAATAATAACTCTGAATGTTAATGGCCTAAACTCACCAATCAAAAAATGGATTTAAAAAAAAAAAAGACCCAACAATATGCTGCCTCCAGGAGACTCATCTGATAGGAAAAGACATATACAGACTGAAGGTGATAGGTTGGGAAAAATCATACCACCCACATGGACTGCAGAAACAAGCAGGGGTTTCCATCCTCGTATCAAATAAAGTAGACTTCAAGCTAAAGTTAATCAAAAGGAATAAAGAAGGACATTTCATACTGCTCAAGGTAACCATACACCAAGACATAACAATCATAAATATATATTCCCAAATCAATGTAGCATCTTTGTTCATCAAACAAATTCTTCTCAAGTTCAAGAGTCAAACTGACCACAACACAAAAATCTTGGGTGACTTTAACACATCTCTCTCACCACTGGATAGATCTTCCAAACAAAAGCTGAACAAAGAAACTATATAACTCAATAATACAATCAATAACTTAGACTTAACTGACATATATAGATCATTTCACCCTTTAACAAGTGAATACTCTTTTTTTTTCCTCAGCAGCACATGGATCCTTCTGTAAAATGGACCATATACTATGACACAAAGCAACTCTTAGCAAATATAAAAAAGTAGAGATACTACCCTGCATTTTATCAGATCTTAATAAAATCAAATTAGAAATCAATGACCAATAAAAAATAAAAATTACTCCAATACCTGGAGACTAAATAATATGCTACTGAATAAACAATGGGTTGCAGAAGACATCAAGGAGGAGATTAAAAATTCTTAGAGGTAAATGAGAACACAGACACAACATATCAAAATCTCTGGGACACTATGAAGGCAGTACTAAGAGGAAAGTTCATTGCATGAAGCTCATTCCTTAAAAGAAAAAAAAGCCAACAAATAAATGACCTAAAATTACATCTCAAAACCCTAAAAAAAGAAGAACAAATCAACACCAAAAGAAGTAGAAGGCAAGAAATAATTAAAATCAGAGCTGAAATCAATGAAATTGAAACAAAAGAAACAATTGAAAAAAATTGACAAAACAAAAAGCTGGTTCTTTGAAAAAATAAATAAAATTGATAGACCTTTAGCTATGCTAACGAAGAGAAGGAGAGAGAAAACTCAAACTACTAATATACGTGATGAAAAAGGTAGTATCACAACAGACACTACAGAAATACAGAAGATAATTAGAAATTATTTTGAAAACTTGTACTCCAATAAAATAGAAAATACCGAAGGCATGGACAAATTTCTTAAGTCATATGATTTGCCCAAATTGAATCAGGATTATATCCACAATTTAAATAGACCAATTTCAAGCGATGAAATAGAAGACACCATCAGAAGCCTAGTAACCAAGAAAAGCCCAGGACAGGATGGATATACAGCTGAGTTCTACAAGACCTTTAAAGAAGAACTAAAACCAATACTCTTCAATTTATTTCACAAAATAGAAAAAGAGGGAGTACTTCCAAACTCATTCTATGAGGACAATCTCATCCTGATTCCAAAACCAGGCAAAGACACATCAAAAAAGGAAAACTTCAGACCAATATCTCTAACGAACATAGATGCAAAAATTCTCAATAAAATTCTGGCAAATCAAACACAAAACATATCAAAAAGATTGTGCACCATGATCAAATGAGATTCATCCCAGGGATGCAAGGTTGGTTCAACATACTGAAATCAATAAATGCAATTCATCACATAAATAGACTTAAAGATAAGAATCATATGACCATCTCAATAGATGCAGAAAAGGCATTCAACAAAATCAGCACCCCTTCATGTTCAAAACGCTAGAAAAATGAGGGATACCAAGGACATTTCTCAACATCATAGAGGCTATCTATGCTAAGCCCCAGGTCAACATCATTCTAAGTGGAGAAAAAAGACCCTCTAAAAAGTAGAACAAGACAGGGATGCCCTCTTTCACCACTTCTATTAAACATAGTTCTTGAAACACTGGCCAGAGCAATTACACAGACGAAAGAAATTAAAGGGATACGAATAGGAAAAGAAGAACTCAAATTAGCACTATTTGCTGATGATATGATTCAATACCTAGAAGACCTCAAAAGTTCCACAAGAATACTTTTAGAACTAGTAAATGAATTCAGCAAAGTAACAGGATATAAAATCAACATCCATAAATCAAAGGCATTTCTGTATATCAGTGACAAATCTTCTGAAAGGGAAGTGAGGAAAACTACCCCATTTACAATAGCCTAAAATAAAATAAAGTAAAATAAAATAAAATACTTGGGAATCAACTTAACAAAAGAGGTGAAAGACCTATACAATGAAAACTACAGAACCCTAAAAAAAGAAATCAAAGAAGACCTTAGAAGATGGAAAGATCTACGTTGCTCTTGGATAGGCAGAATTAATATTATCAAAATGACTATACTACCAAAAGCACTATATAGATTTAATGCAATTCCACTCAAAATCACAATGGCATTCCTCTAGAAATAGAAAAAACAGTCATGAAATTCATCTGGAAAAATAAAGAGACCCAGAATAGCTGAAGCAATCCTTAGCAGAAAGAGTGAAGCAGGTGGCATCACTATACCAGAACTTAAACTATACTATTGGGTGATAGTAACCAAAACGGCGGGTATTGGCACCAAAACAGACTAATAGACCAATGGTACAGAATAGAGGATCCAGAGACTAACCCAGAAAATTAGAATTATCTTATACTAGACAAATGTGCCAAAAACATGCATCAGAGAAAAGATAGCTTCTTCAACAAATGATACTGGGAAAACTGGATATCCATATGCAACAAAATGAAATCAAACCCCTACCTTTCACCATGCACAAAACCCAATTCAAAGTGGATCAAGGACCTAGGAATTAAACCAGAAACCCTGTGTCTAATAGAAGAAAAAGTAGGCCCTAATCTTCATCATGTGGGATTAGGTCCCGACTTCCTTAATAAGACTCCTATAGCGGAAGAATTAAAATCAAGCATCAATAAATGGGATGATTTCAGACTAAAAAAAATTCTTCTCAGCAAAAGAAACAATCAGTGAGGTAAATAGAGAGCCTACATCTTGGGAACAAATTTTTACCCCTTACACATCAGAAAGAGCAGTAATCTCCAGGGTATAAAAAGAACACAAAAAACTGAACACCAGAAAACCAAATAACACAATCAATACATGGGCCAAGGACCTGAACAGACACTTCTCAGAAGATGATATATAATCAACAAATATATGAAAAAATGTTCATCATTTCTAACAATTGGAGAAATGCAAATCAAAACTACTCTTAAGATTTCATCTCACTCCAGTCAGAATGGCAGCTATTAAGAATACAAACAACAACAAAAAAAAGGTACACTCATTCATTTTGTGGGACTGCAAATTGGTGCAGCCATTATGGAAAGCAGTATGGAGATTCCTTGGAAAACTGTGAATGAAACCACCATTTGACCCAGCTATCCTACTCCTTGGTCTATACTCAAAGGACTTAAAAACAACATACTATAGGGACACAGCCACATAAATGTTTATAGCAGCACAATTCACAATAGCTAAACTGTGGAAACAACCTAGATGCCCTTCAGTAGATGAATGGATAAATAAAATGTGGTATATATACACAATAGAATATTACTCAGCAATAAAAGAGAATATAGTCATGGCATTTGCAGGTAAATGAATGCAGTTGGAGAATATAATGCTAAGTGAAGTTAGCCAATCCCAAAAAAACCAAATGTCAGATGTTTACTGTGATATAAGGAGGCTGATTAATAGTAGGGTTGGGAGGGGGAGCATGGGAAGATTAGAAGAACTCTAGATAGGGCAAAGGGGTCGGAGGGTAAAGGAGAGGGCATGGGGGTAGAAATGAGGGTGTCATGAGATGGATACAATTACCCTAAGAACATGTATGAAGACATGAATGGTGTGAATATACTTTATATACAACCAGAGATATGAAAAATTATGATTTATATGTGCAATACGAATTACAATGCATTCTACTGCCATGTAACAAATTAGAATAAAAAAATTTTTAAAAATTACATTTGTTTCATCTGACCTAATTTCTGTTCATTTTTTAGATCTATTCTTAAAGTTTTTTATCACCAGACTCTCTCTCCAACACCTAGATTTGCTCTTTCATAATGACCTTTTACACTTGTTAGCTTTGTTTATAAAGTAAAAGTAAATAGGCTATGGTAACAGACTTAAAGGGTTCTCTGTTGAGTATAGCTTCATTGACTTGTGGTATATCTCTGCTGTCCCCTCAAAAGTCTTTGTTCACTTTCTTGACTTAGTTAAAAACAGGTTAGTTGATGAATATAAACATCTGGGTTGGTAGTAGTATATTCTTTTTTTAAAGGCACCTACTATATAAACTCTAAAATTTACTTTCCTCATAACATATGAAGGGCTGTCAACTATACAAAATACAATCCCCCCACCCAACCTATGTAACAGCCATAAGCACATTATCTGTATCACACAATCAAATCTTACCTCAGCAGGTCATTCTTTTGCTTTATTAGTTGCTCATTTTGCTGCTTTAATTTAGAAATTTCCTTTTCTAGCCTTATGTATTCACTTTTCAAAATAAGTGCTTTTGTGCTTTGTATGATGCCACTGCCACCACCACAGGTTATGGGCTTATTTGAAGGCTGAGAATCAGTATGTTCCGATATCACTGTGGAAAACAAAAACATAAATAGGTGGTATTTTTTTTAATATAGTGTAATTTTGATTATCTCCAAGATTTAAAATAAGAAAAACTATAAAAATCCGAACATTTCCACCATTACCGTGGAAGTCATTGTAGACTTGTCCTTTTACCTCACCTACCTATCCAGCCTGTTTGATCACCAGTTCTATTTTTAAATTAAATTATTTTTTTTGGGGGGGGGGCAATACTGGGGATTGAACCTAGGGCCTTGTGCTTGCTATAGGCAAGGCTCTATCACTGAGAGATAGCCCTAGGCCTTTTAATTTACTTATTTTAAGATAGTATTTTACTAAGTTGCTCAGGCTGCTTTGAACTTGAGATCCCCATCTTAGTTTCTCAAATAGCTGGGATTACAGGTGAGCACTAACCACACCTGGCTGATCATCAGTTCTAAATGTCTTTAGAATTTACCTCAACCTCTACCAAATATGGCTAAGATCTTTCATCCTAACTGCAGCAATGGCTACCCTCTCCAGTTAGAGCTGCTCAAAATTAGTGCTCAGCTGGAGGGCTTGTTAATACAGAGAAAGTATGAGGACCGCCTCAGTCATTTAGGGCATTGTAAGTACTCAAGGTAAACTGTTATTAAATATGCCTTAGAATGCTATTAAAGCATGTTAGTCAGTATTTCACACTATATATGTAAAACTGTGTTCAATTGCATAAAATTGTGAGATGTTTGTTTAGTAGAATAACCCGTTAGGCCACTGGCATTGACAAAAAAAAAAACGGGCAGGGTATATGGGGAGAAGAAATTCTCAGTGTCCATTTTTTTCAGAATTCATGTACACTTCATGTTGAGCAGCCCTAATTTGAAAATATGACTTCTGAAATGCTCCAATATCCAAAACTGTTTGAGTACTGATAAGATACTGCAAGTGGGAAATTCATATTATCCATGTGGGTGGCTGGGAGAGCCTTTGCTTTCTGCACAAAATCATTAAAAATATTATAAAAAGTTATCTTCAGGCTATGTACTAAAGACGTGTATGAAAACATAAATCAATTTATGTTTAGACTTGGGCCCTATCCCCATTATATATCATTATGTATATTTTTTTATGCAAATATTTCAAAATCTGAAAAAATCCAAACCCTCAAAGTTTCTGGGTCTAAGCATTTAGGGTAAGGATTACTCTACTTGTATATACCTGAAAGTCACCTACACATCAGGAGGAACTATCCTGACCCTTCTGTAACAAAGAATCTTCACTTTTATTTTCATCCTGTCAAGTTTTCTAGACAGTTGCTGAGAGCATATTGCAATAGACACTCAGGAAGTTTAATCTACATTAAGTATGACTTCAACACACACTGAGTGGATAATAACATTTATTATTATTATATTTTATGATAAAATATTATATTTTGCTTGGCATTTAGAATTTTCAATGTGCTTTCACATACAACTTTTGGTTTGCTCTTCTTAACAATGCATATAAGGTGAGAAAGGTCAGGTGCTGGACCTGTGATTTCATGTGGCCATTAGTGAGGGCAGTCAGTCTAGAGAACTTCCCCTGATTTTTAGCTCAGTGCATTTTCTATTACATAAAGCTGCCTAAGTACTAGCTAGAATTCTCTCTTCTCAAGTAAAACATGAGACAAAAATGTGAAAAAAATATAGTTTGAGAAGTGCATATGTAGAAATTTACCATTAAATCTTAAAATGTAGCTGAGATATATTTTAAAAAGTTTTTCAAGTAAATATCACCTTGATATTTTTTACTTTTAAGAGCAAATAGGTTAATATTTACTTGTTTTTACTGTGTACCAATCCTCATTTATTAGTTGCATATAGTTTAAAATGTACTAAGGAATGTATTTGGCTTTTATTAGGAAGGGTGGTTCTACCTTGACCATAAAAGTCATTCTTTTATAACAGCAAAGGTATCTTCAGTATAGGTAAAGATCTAATAATGCAAAAGTAAAATTCATATAGTTCAAGAATCTACAATGGATAAACAGTTGACTATAGTAATCTAAAGAGATACTACAAGATACATATTTATTTTAAAAAGAGATTACTGATTAACTTGGGTTATTGAATGTCATATGGATAATAGGCATTTTCAAAGTCTGTGTGTTGAGAAGTAATATTGGAAAGATCTGAAAATATGTGTAGTTTCTACTTACTTGAAGCATCTTGGGCCTGTTGACTTCTTCTCAGATTTTCTCTTAACACTCTTATCACTTCTTTTTGATAGTCTATAGTGGCTTTTGTAGAATCAATTCTAACAAGAACAATAATAAAAATATAGCAACTAATTTTCTATGGAAGAATAAACAGAATCTTTGTCAAAAACTTTGTAATATGATGCATTATATTAGCATAGTACCCATAAGTAGTGGTAGATCATCCTGCATAATCTCTCTTTATATGATGCCCTTTATGGCTATAATGCCAGCAAATTCCAAGTATTTTGTTATAGGAACACTCCAATTTTCTTAATATTGAGAAACCAGTTCTAAAATGTCTGAAAGCTCAATAGCTATTAATTGGCTATTAAGCCAAGTTATATTTGTAGATGCTATAAAACAAACAGTTGGGCTGCTATCATGGAGTCACAGAATGGTCTTGAAGGTACAATTACCAGAGCAAGAAAGAGAAAAGCAGTTTCATTTCTACACTGTCAGGAAAGCAAAAGCCTGATTGCAGGTCTGGTCTAAGGTGAAAGAGTCAAAAGGTCAAATTCTGATCATTTTTTCCCAGTAGAAAGACATTTTATGAATTGGTTTAGATATTAATAGACAATAATAAATTTTAAGACTTTCTGTCTTTCTCAAAAACTATAAAAGTATTTTGATTCTATAAGTAAAAGCTTTTTTCTTAAAAAATAATTAAGGACCTAATAGTGGAAGGTAGCTAGGCAGCACAAAGACTTACAGAGTGCTACATTTTGAGCAGAATTAGAGATTATTAGATATTTATTCAAGATTAGGAAGAATGAAGAATGCTAGGATCCAGAAGACCTCTTAAGACATCCTATAATAACCCTCTCCTTTTATTGATTGTGAATGCAAGGATCTGACAGATTAAAGAGCTTATTTAAGGTAATGCATTAATAAGTGAGCACTTCTAATTCAGTTTCCCTGACTCTCTGTTTAGTGTTCTTTTCATTATTGTAGACCGAAGCATGCTCTTATAGTGTGTGTGTGTTTGTGTATATTAATAAAAAGAATATGCTCTGGGGTCCTAGGTACCTATAAATGTAAAGAAAATACACTCTTACATATGCACACACAGACTCACTCAGAGACATGTATAAGTTCTTAATGTTCACTTCTAAGCATGAAAAAGCCATTTTAAGTTGTTTATACCCAATTGAGAAGGAAGCATTCAAAGAAGTATGTTAATTGATCAGAACTGTGATTAACATAAAAAACTTTATATGACAATTTAGTGAACTTAAAAATTTGTGGGTTTGTATTTTTTTTTTTTAAAGCACTAACACTTTCCTAAGTTTCTTTTTAAAAAGTTAACTAATACAAAGATATTTATGTAGTTTAGAAAGAAAAGCTATTAAAGCCATGTTCAACTAAAGCTATAACATACTCCTTCTCAAATTCCTTGGCAGTTTTCATCTTCTCTAAGTCTATTTTCACCAGCTTTGTTTTGAGATCTTCAATTTCTTCTTTATAGGGTTTGGCTCCTAAAGCGACTTGGTCCTAATAGTTACAGAAAAAAGAAAAGTAAAATAATGATTAGAGTAGTCCTATATCTCTGGTTTTAAAGAAAAGCTAGCTGCCTTTACTCTAGTAGACATATTTTAAAATAGCAAACTCTTTCAAGTATAAGAAAAACAAGAAAGGCATTAATTCTAGTTGAATAGTAACTAAACATTTGATGTAAGGTATATTTGAAGCTAATATATATAGATGTATGATTTTTATGTCTTAAAACAAGTACTTTTTTGCAATGAAAAAAGTGATCTATATACAAAATGAAACAGAAAGATTGAAAATAATGAAATGTGCGGACAAAGATGAAGCAGGAAAAGGAAACAAAAGATGCTGGAGCAGAAATGTAAACATTAAGTGGAACTCAAATTCAAGCAACAACACATTATTGGGAATATTTTTATACAGAAAGATAGCTCAATCAGTGATACAAATATATCTGCTTTCCATTCAGAGAACATATACATACTCATGTGCATTAGTAAATCTTAAAAAAAAATTGAATAGACTATTTTACACAGAAAAGTTGAATGGAAAACATCGAGAGTTCCCATGTATACAGTGTCCCATACCTTCTTTCCTATTATTACATTCATGCATTACTAGTATGGTACATTTGTTACAACCAATGAACTGATACCAATATGTTATTAATTAATTAAAGTCTGTATTTACTTTAGAATTTCTTAGATTTCCTATGCTCTACCTGTACATCCTGGTATGCCTCCCCACCAACTCTAACGTCACATATTTGAAATTGTATACTAGGCAGCCTTTTCAGATTGGATACTTTCACTTAGCAATATGCATGTCTCCCATGTCTTTTCATGACTGCATAGCTTCATAGCTCATTTCTTTTATCTGATAAATGATATTCCTTTGTACCAACATACTTATGATGTATTTATCCATTCACCTCTTAAAAGAGGTCTTAATTGTTTCTAAGTTTGGGCAATGATGATACAGCTACTATAAATGCACATGCATAGCTTTTTGTGCAATGAGTAAATATCAGGGAGGACAACTGCTTGATCATATTGAGGCTGGGGGGCAAAAGGACAGCCGATGTAGGTAATGAAAGGCTGGGTCAGGAAGATGGGGGCTGATTCAAGAGGAAATAAAATGCTAATATCTTCAGGATACTTCCCCTCCTCCATCCTGTTGTCAAGGTTACCTGCTTCCAGGGAATTGTTCCTCCCTGCAAGGAGGTGTTAATTAGTAGCCCCTGGGTGACTCTCTTCCTTCCTTTCTGGGCAGCTCCTCTCCTGGTTTTTGGTCATTGGCCACAGGCAGGATGAGAGCAGGAGGGGGCATGGGAACAAAGGAAATCTAAAATCTATAAAAGGGACAAGGACACCCCCACTCCCTTAGGCACCTACTTGGGTCCCCTCTTTTGAGGAGGAACCCCTGTCCCTTTCTCTGTTCTATCCTTTAAATAAAGCTTTTTGCTCTTGTCTTGGAGTTTCTCAGATGTTTAATCTTCAACACTGAGGGAACAGTACTAGAACCTGATTCTCAACACTGATATCAATACTGTAAGAAAACATTTAATTTACTAAGAAACTGCCAAACTGTATTTCAAAGTGGCTAGATCACTTCACATTCCCACAATGAGTGAGAGCTCCTGTGCTCTACATCCTTGCCGGGATTTGGTGTTTGTCAATGTTTTGGATTTTGGCCATTCTAAAAAGAGTGTAGTGGTACCTAATTAATTAAAATCACCATTCCCTAAAGTCTATTTTTCAAAGAGAAGTCTTTAAAGAAATTAAGTCAGAACGTAACACAGTTTTTGACAAAATTTTCCAATGGCCCTCAAGACCCTTTATGATCTGTTTCACTGCAGCTTCTTGCCTTATTTTCCACCCGTCTTCACTCTACTCTGAATATAGTGACTTTCTTGTTTCTCAAACCTGTCTAGAATATTTGTTTCTGGGTCTGTGCATTTGCTATTTCCTTTGCCTGGAAGACTCTTTTCTAGTCACAGTTTGCCCCCGCACTTCCCTTAGATCATCTTACTGTTGACTTTTCTTAACTCTCTCTCTATAAAAATCATCTCTTTGCTTGCACATGCCCACCTTTACCCAGAACCCACATACTCCTTGTCTGACTCATTTTTTTTCTATTATACTTTTTAATCATATATTTATATATTTCTTCCCATTTATAAAAGCAAAATGTATTTGTTGTAACGAACAATCCAGGGATTTAAAATTTTTTTTTTCTCCCTCCTGTCCACTGTGAGCAAAGCACATAGCCTTCTGTCTTTGGGTACACCACACCAACAAACAGTTCACAGACCTTTTTCCTACTTGTTACCTATTACTCATAAGACTGCTCTCTGCATGCAGTGGTGGGCTTTACCTACTTCTCAGGCCAACAGTCTAACTCACTGTTTCCCTCCACTTACCTAATGTATTCTAGTATGAGAGTATATTATAATCTAACGTTTTCTCTGTTGGCAAACATTCAAGTTGTTCCCTTTTATTTTGTGGTACCAGGGATTGAACCCATGGTACCACAATGGTACCACTAAGCCACATCAGTCCATTTTTATATCATATATTTACATTTTAAAATCAATTAATTTTCTGTCTCCCCATACCAGAAAGCAAGTTCTTTGACTTATATTCGGACTCCTCTGTTGCCACATAGTTGGTGCTCAGCAAATACTTAATTGAATGAATAAAATGTGATTGTTTAATTTGTAATATTAAAAATTTACTCTCAAACTTTTATCTCTAGTTTATCTGCTCATGTCTCAATGAATGGATCAGACTTTTTAGAAGAATGGTAACCATGAAAAGAGAAGGCATTTTTGACTTGTTCTTAATTTTAGTGGGGCTGAAGAGACACTGAAGCAGAAACACACTTCTATGCTATCAGTTTCAGACTTGAGGAAAAGAATTATGAAAAGTGGTTGGAGCAAAACAAAAGGGAGTGATAAGGAAATGATGAATAGGGGTGTGACTTCAAGGATACTGAAGTTCAAAAACATTTAAACCACCATTCTTTCCAAAGAAAATTGGCCTGATTTAGCCCACAGGATACCAGGTGGTTCTCAGTAATAAGAACAGCAAGTAGAAAAAAATGAAAACATACTTAATCTACTGGTCTTTATACATTTATTATGGTGTTATATATTTAGATAAGAAGCACATCATTTTTGAAAAATAAAAAATTACATTTTCAAGTATAAAGAATGTTGACGTATCTTTAAAAATTGCTTTTCTAGCATGACAAAAATAACCAATATTTTACATGAAAATATACTCCTATTCCTAAAAACACTTGGAATGGAACCATTGTATACCCAAGGGATTTAAAAATTCGTATTACAATGATGTGGCCAAATCAATGTTTACAGAAGCTCAATTCACAATAACTAAACTGTGGTACCAACCTAGGTGCCCTTCAACAGACAATAGATAAAGAAAATGTGGCATATACACACAATGGAATATTACTCAAGTCATAAGGAAGAATGAAATTATTCTGACATTTGCTGGTAAATGGATGGAACTGGAGACTGTCATGTTAAGTGAAATAAGCCAATCCCAAAAAACTAAAGGCCAAATGTTCTCTCAGATATGCAGATGCTGGGCTGAGGATGTGGCTCAAGCGGTAGCGCGCTCGCCGGGCATGCATGCGGCCCAGGTTTGATCCTTAGCACCACATACAAACAAAGATGTTGTGTCCGACGAAAACTAAAAAATAAATATTAAAAATTTCTCTCTCTCTCTTTAAAAAAAAAAAAAAGATACGCAGATGCTAACACAATAATCGGAGGAGGAAAGAATAGAAGTTTGTTGGATCAGACAAAGGGGAATGAAGGGAAGGGGGGGGAGATGGGAATAGGAAAGACAGTGGAATGAATTAGACATAAGTTTCCTATGTTCATATAGGAATAAATGGCCAGTGTAACTCCACACCATGTGCGACCACAAGAACGGGATCCTAATTAGAATAAATTATACTCCATGTATGTACAATATGTCAAAATACACTCTACTGTCATGTATATTTAAAAAGAACAACAATAAAAAGATACTCTTGCATTTCATTTCTAAGTTGTTCCTTCTTTTAAAGATTGAATAATGAACTTCAGACATATATATGTCATAGGAAGTTGTGGTGAGACTGGGAGAACAGAGCATCAAATTATTTGTCAAATTTAACAGTTAAAGTAAAATGATAGCATTTACTAATAAAATGAGGTTAAGTTACCTGAAGTGCTTGCATCATTTCTTTTGTTTTTTCAAGACATTTATTTGATTCATTAATTTTGGCTTGAAGTTTTGCTATAATGTTATTGGTCATTTCAAGTTCTTTCTGCATCTTTATTATCTTGCTTTCCTTATGTACAGCATTTTCTTTAGCTTCACGCAAGGAATTTTCCAGTTCCTGAATTCTCTGTTAGAGAAAGCATATATTCATTAGGTTTTTTTTTTTTTTTTTTTTGGTACCAGGGATTGAACCCAGGGGTGCTTAACCACAGAGCCACATCCCCAGTCCTTTTTATTGAGACAGGGTCTTGCTGAGTTGCTTAGGGCCTTGCTAAATTGCTGAGGCTGGCTCTGAATTTGCGATTCTACTGCCTTAGCCTCCTAAACTGCTGGGATTACAGGTGTTTGCCACTGTGCCTGACTCATAAGGTCTATTTTAAAGACAGAGATGCACAATGTAAATTTGAGACAAAAGATTATATTTATGTATTGATAATTTTTCATGAACTGCATTCATAAAGGATAGAAGAGAGGCCAAATATCACTCAATCTATAGACATGTATTGCTTTCATTTGGAAGTAACTGATTTTTGGATTTAAAAATGACAAAAATTTAAATCATATAATCTGTCAACAAATTCTTAAACCATGAATGTGAAAACAGCACAGTGTTGATGTTATTTACTGGTTAGTTGAGTGCTAAGCACATTAAAGAAGCACTCATTTTAAATTAACACTATCAGAAATATATTTGTTAACTGACTTTCTAAGTAATGTACATAATACCTTTTCCTTTACTTTTGTTAATTAGTTTTGAAATTGAAAAAGGTAAACACGGGGAAAATTCAAAGGTACATGATGAAAAGGTAGTTTCCACCTCAGATCCCAGTTGATCCTGAGGCAATGACTGCTAAACTTTTCAAGTGTACTTTCCCAGGAATTTTCTCTAAGCATCTAAGCATATGTGAATATAGTTTATAAAAATAGTTACTCATACACTATATACTAAACATAAAGTTCTGTTTTTAATCCAGTATATTTTTGATCTTTCTATTATCAATATATATAAATGTCTTCCATTTTTGTTTTTATGGATACATAGCATCCGATTTCATGGAAATATCATAAATTATTTATTCAGTCACCACAAATGAAGATTGAGGTTATTTCCAGTTTTTCACAAGTATAAATTATCTTAGGATAAACTTAAATACCTGAATTTTTTTTCACGTTTATCAGATTATTCACATGTACACACATTTTTTTACTGTCTGTGAAATGTCTGTTGCTTTATGGTCCACCTAGAATTTATTTTTTGTTTAGTGAGTCTTATTTCTTTTCCAGATGACTAGTTTGTTGTTTAAAATTATAAGTAAACAATTTTTCCCTGTAGAGTTGAACATTACCATGATTGTGTGTGTGTGTGTGTGTGTGTGTGTATGTATATATATATATATATATATATATATATATATATATATATATATATATATATATATATATAAAATTCTTAAGGCTTAATGGGGCGGGCTTCTGAACTCAGTTCTGTTCCACCTCTATACTTGTATATTCCTGCATAACTGTCTAATTATAATAGCATATGTTTTCTTATCTATTAGAGTGTTTTCTTGGGTCACCAAAGACAGAATTTCTTTCTGCTTCTTTAAATTATTGCTTTGGTAAATGGGTTTCATCTTTGCTCTATTCTATGGCTATCAGATGACAATTCTCTTAAGATCACCAGATCAAAAAACTGCAAACTAGTGATCTTCTAGTTTCCACTGGTAATTAATTATTAAAGTAGTGGCTGACATTTCATTACAAGTATATATACTGGTAAAAATGATAAATTGTAATTTACTCGTAGAATCCCTACTAAATCATTTGTGTGTTAATAAAATAAGGTAGCATGTTTTCTGATGTTTAACAACTCCTAAGGTTAAGTAATAATGTAACAGATTATTCAAATAATCTACTGACTCTTAGACACAAGTTGATATGTATAATTATTCTGTTATAATTTTAGCCTCTTCCCTTTTTATTGTGACTGAAATATTAACCAATATTAAAAGAAATGATAATTAGAAAAAAGCTAAATTGTTATTTTTCTCTAAGCTTATATTGGTTTTGCATATAGACAGATTATAGTTTAGTATAAAGTCAGATGATTTAGGAAGTTTATAATATATAGTAATAAAAATTTAAATGGTAATCACTTAAATTATAGTATATGAATTTAGTATTCAAATTAAGCTTTGATTTACCTCTGTTTTATAATACAAAGGGTAAATCTTTATAATTTCTAGACTTAAAATTATTTAGCTGAGTGATATCCAGAACTATATATAAATATCTAGCTTATCACACACACAAAATATTGTGTTCATATTCCTTAATAAATGTAGTCAATACTATGATTTTGCTCTGGACTCCAGGATGAAGCTAAAAATTAAAGAATATCTTATAAGAAATTGCATACCTCTGTTAGTTGTACAGCTCTTGATGTAACATGAGGATTTTTATTGTCTTGTACAATAGAATTAGCCTGGGCACCAGATGTTAGGGAGACTGTCAAAGTTTGGTAGTCTTCAAACAGTTTTTTATTTTTCTCTCTTATTGATTTCAGGTCATGTTCCCATTCTTTTGATCGGGTTACACTTCTTTCCTCGAACTCTGTTGATTCATTTATTATACCCTATTGAACAGTAAAACATTACAGCTCTAAAATGATTTATATATTCAAGCACTAGAATTCTTGTACAATGCATATGCTGAAATTCATTATTTAGAACGCCCAACACCCTAGAACAATGCTTTTAAAGAATGAACATTCTTTGTGATTTGCACATATTTTTTGAAATTATAGATATTGGATGTTGATTATGAGAGTAAGATAATCCCAGCTTTATTGGATCTGTACTAGCACATGAAGAGAATCTACAATATTAATCTAGTTTTTTTTTGCTCTAATTTCACACATACAAGAAGTCTTTTGATACTATATATCTTACCAATTATGCAGATTAAAATCATTATATATGCTATGGTTGATGATAAGCTATTAAGTGCCATCTAACAGCAGAACACTCCTAATAAACTTAACAGTTATCTATTTTCCTGCTTCATTTTAAACTTCAGTATTTTTAGGGAAAATAACTGCCGTTGGTAATTAGTATGGATATCTTTCATTTCTGTGCAGAGAATAACATGTCATCAATACTCTTTTTTACAATGAAGGCTAATTCTAAAATTAATTATATAATAAACACTTCCTAATTCCTATGGGATATACTTTTTGCTCTTATCAAGAATGTCTTATTGGTCTCCTCTATAACTTCTTTGTGGTTTTATGGTCATTCTGCCAGGACGGGATCTTAAGTTAGTTGTGTTCTTTCTGATATCCTGGACTCTTTTTGGCTCTGGTTTACTGACTTTGCATCTTACAAAGTTATTGACTCCTACCCTCAGGGTGCTAGAAGAAGCCATATTCATGCTGACACAGCAGCAACCCCTACTTTCTAAGCTACTTACAGCTGATACCTCAATATTATAAGAAAAGCTTTGAATTATAGAGAGATTATTTTGTTTTATGCCTTTCTCTATTGATTGTGATCAAGTTTGTTTGAAATAGTCTATTACTGTTCTGTTCGTTCTGGTTATTCTACAAATAGGAGGAACTACCCGTGAAAACATTTTTTCATCCCTTCTTTCAATGTGATTTAAATATAGTCTCCAGATGAAATTAAAGTATCAAAAAAGAACTATTCAAACATATGAAACACAAAACCAATCTTGGAAGCTACCATTTTAATCTATTCTTTTTGCTCTAATTTCACACATACAAGAAATCTTTTGATACTATATATCTTACCAATTATGTAAGGAAGAGATTATACCAATGAACACTATGAATATAATAATCACTGAAAAGTAAAAACAAATTAACAACCTGTTGTTGGTTCTTATGAATCAGTACATTGGGACTGATCATGAAGGGAACAAGGATAAAAATCTCGATTTTGCAGATTCTGGTCCAGCACGTAAAGAATTCAGAAGTTACCAGTCCATCATAACAAACAGAAAGCAGAACTGAAAAATCAAAACTCTGACTAGATCTATCAATGCGGTTAGGTCACAGAAATAGACCTATAGTCAACTCATTTTTGACAAAAGAGCAAAAGCCATAAATAGAGCAAATATGGTCTTTTCAATAAATGGTGCTGGACCAAAGGGACATCCACAAGCAAGAAAGTGAATCTAGACACAGACCTTACAAGCTTTATAAAAAGTAACTCACAATGGAACACAGAATTAAATATAAAGTATGAAACTTTAAAATCCCAGAAGATAACATGGGAGAAACCTTGATAACCTTGAGCTTGGTGATAACCTTTTAGAAACAACTTCAAAGTCATGATCTCTGAAAGAAATAACTAACAAGCTAACTCTTTAACATTAAAAACTCCCAGTAATTTCTGCTTAATTTTGTTATAAAATTAAAACCAGCCTAAAAAAAATAAAGTTTATTAATACAAAAAATAGACACATTTTTCATCCTCAAAGTTCAGGATCAGCATGTATAATTCTGAGACCAACAGGAGTAAAGTTCATGAAGTCCCGAGGCCCTGCTGAAGCAGCCAGCCAACTAGTCTATGGCTTTACCACAACAACTGCCTGCAGCCCTGAAACTGACTCAGGCCTCACCTTGGCTGAAGCTACTTGGAGAAAGGTTCAATTCCTACTGAAAGTGAGAAAGAAAAGCTGTGGAGTCCAAATTTCATGAGTGAAAACTGAACATTATACACAAGGCTGGGTTACCTTTATAAGTATAAATTGACATTTAATTATCTTAAGAAGCATAATATGTTAGAGGAAGAACACATTTTACAAAATCAACTTTTTTCATAATGTATGCAAATAAATTAAAGAAAACATACTTAAAATTAATTTACTCTAAGCCCTCTGAGAAATGAGTTAGAAAAAGTAAACAGAATGAGGTAGCATAATAAAAATTAATACTTACAGTTATTTTATTATGGTAGAAGTAATTCACTTGACAAATGCTATCATTTTCTTTCTGGATGCTATTTTTAAGTTCTTCTATATTAAAAGGAGTATTTAACCACTCTTCCAAAACCTGAGTCATTTTTTTCCTGTTACTAAATACTTGTAATTCAGTCTTTATGCTGGGGAAGTCATTTTCTGAGAAATCTTTGAGAATTTCCTGTGTGAGAAATATGCACTTTAGCACCTGAACATTAGGAAAATTTTATCCAAATATCATATGAAATATAAAAATATTATAAAAAGGGGAAAACATGGATTCTTCTTAATATTTTAAAGTAATCTAAGGCTGGGTGTTGTGGTGCACACCTGTAGTCCCAGCAACTTGGGAGGCTCAAAGCCAGCTTCAGCAATTTAGCTAGATCCTCAGCAACTTAGTGAGATCCTATCTCAAGATAAAAAAATAAAGAGAGCTGGGAATGTGGATGAGTGGTTAAGTGCCTCTGGGCTCCATCCCAGGTACCAAAAGAAAAAGATAGAAAGGAACAACAACAACAAAAAAGTAATCTAAGAAATATAATTCTGGGCTGGGGATGTGGCTCAAGCGGTAGCGCGCTCGCCTGGCATGCCTGCGACCTGGGTTCGATCCTCAGCACCACATACAAACAAAGATGTTGTGTCTGTCGAAAATTAAAAAATTAAAAAAAAAAAAGAAAGAAAAAGAAATATAATTCTAACCAAAAACTTTATTCTAGTCATTTGCATAATAAAATTTTGGTAGTATATGTGATATGGTAGTGGCATAACTACAATTCTACCTGTTAAGAATTAAAATCTGTCAGAATGATCAATCTGGGACAAATTATCACATAAAATGCTCTTCAGTGCATACAGCAGGACTTACATATGTGTTGGGATGCCAGCCTCTCATTGCTGGGGAGGGCAAGATACTACACATGGAGTTGTGGCAATAAAAGGGTTTCTGATTCCCCAGTAACAGATGTAAGAAGTTTTAGAAGGTATTTGTAAACTTATTCTAGGATTCCATGGATTCCCATTTACTAAAGTTAAATCTGTTTTTCTGTGCCTATGAAGGTCTGAAAGGAGGCTAGTCCATTATTTGGCAGTCTTTGTTTGGCTAGTTATTATTCTTCAACCTATTTTTAATTTCTGGTAAATAAAAGTTTTAAGCACATGCAAAAGTACTTTCCTACATGATAATAAGGCTAATTAAATCTATTTAAAATAAATTATACCTCAATATGTAGATCCAAACTCTGGTTCAGTTTGGAGTGCCTTAATTCTTTGGATGGTATGTCATAATCCTGTTGAAGGTGTTGTATTTTAATTTGGAGTTCATTTTGCTTTTCCACTTCATCAATAAAAGCTATTTCAAATTTATTGATGGATTCATGTTGTTCTTCTTTCATCTTTGTAATATAGCTTAACACATACTTGTAGAAAAAAATGAAATAAATCAGAAAATGAATTTTTTTCATGTTTAGAGTAAGTTTCAAACCTTTGAGACTGAGGTGAGAAGGTGTACCTTGTTTATTTATATTCTCTGATAAGTAAATAAGGGAGCAGCCATCTTCTATCTCCAAATTTCTCTTTTTAGAATCATGGGAGAGTAACTTCCAGACCTCTACTTCCATATTTTTGACCTCCTACTTAGGGTGTCTTATAAATACCTCAAATTAAATATTTAGAATGTTACATGGTCTCTTTATGTATATATCCTTTTTCTGTTGCCCCTTTTTTGGTTAGTTAAATTGCCAATCACCAAGGATTCCCAGTTAACATCTAAGTAAATCCTCTTCTGCCCACCTTGCTTGGATAACCAATAAAAAGGTCTTTTAAGCCTCAAGATTTCCTTGTTGAGAATCATTAGACATTTAAGCTTCAATACCATATATTCATGGGTCATACAAATAAGTTCTAGATATCTGTTTGTCAAGATTTGTGGAAGGATTTTCAGAAAGTAAAGGGGCAGACATCTAACTAGGCAGGAAAGATACCTACTTGTTAATTCCTTAACCTCTCATAATCTGGTGTCTTCCCTAACCGCTTGACTAAAATTACTCTGGCAATGGTCACCAAGAAATCTATTATCATTGAATTGAGGGGACACCTTTGTTTCATAAGTATCTGCCACTCTTGGCCACTTTATCTTTGAGGAGCTCCACTCCACTGACTTGAGGGACAGCACTTTTGTTTGCTTCTCTCCTGAATTTTTGATTTTTTCATACCTGAACATACATGTTACACCCTTTTATTACTGTCTCTTTTGGACATTTATCTTTTTCTGGGTTCTCGTCTTCTTCCAAAGCTTTTATTCTTCTGAGAAGAGATTGAAGAAGCATTTAGCAGCTTGAAATGGTATGTCCAGGTGATTTTTTAATGCTCTCTAGATGACCTTTCTGTACTTCTTGTCACCTATATGTTGATGAGTCCCAAATCTCCTGACTTTTATCCTGCCAAACCTCAGACTCACAGTTAAATGCCTACATGGTTTCTCTTCTTGGATGTCTCATAGGTATTCTAACCTTGAAACATCTAAACTAAACACCTGATCTCTCCAGCATCACATACCTGATTCTCTTCCTTTTCTCAGTTAATCCTATCTTACACACATGGATAATCACAAATCTTGGAACTCCATCCAAACTTCTCTCCCTATTTCCATTATAAATCACCTGGACATACCATTTCAAGCTGCTAAATGCTTCTTCAATCTCTTCTCAGTCCCTATTTAACTTTCCCTAGTAGTATAGTAACACATATTATCTCATCTGGACCATTGTAATTGCCCCTTATTTCTCTCTTCTTCTAAGCTTATCCCCCTCAAATTCATGTCTTTTTTATTCTGCAATGAAGTACCTAAATGTTAATCTCATCTGTTACTACTGCTACTTTAACTGCCTTTTGGCTGTCTGTCTTCTACAAAACAAACTCCAAACTTTATTGCTTGAATTTGGCTTCGACTATAGTCTAATCTTCTGTAAATTCTTACATGTGGCATGTCATACAACCTGTATATACCTCTATCACTGCACTCATTACCTTTTTATATGTCTGCCTTACCAGATTAAGAGATCTTTGATATGACTCATCTGTCTTCTGAGTACCTCGATAGTATCTAGGCACATAGGCAAAGCTCATTTTTTTTTCCCTCAAAGCTCAGTTTTTATTGAATGAGTAGATACTAGAAACACTAAAAATCCTAAACTTACTGTTCTCAGACCTATACAATATTAAATTTAATAAGTATACTAAATAGCAAATATGCCAACTCCTAAAACAGTACTTAAGTACATTAAAATTTGTAACTGAAATTTAGAGTAGTATTAATAAGATACTGGTACCTTTAGTTTCTTTATGACTCTATGGAATTCCATGGAACATCTCTGGTTTGCAGCAAAAAGTTTTTGAATCTGTTTTGTTTGTGGGTATGGAAGTGAGAGGTTTGCTTTTACTCTAATTGAAAGATCTTTTTGGGTTTCAATTTCCTTCTCTAAGTCAAAAGACAATTTATTCAAGTACTCATAATGATTATCCATCTCTGAGTATCTCTGCAGCAGCTCCTGAAATTAAAATTCATTTGATTTAACAACAAATAGTTCCACTGGTAAAGCTGTAAGAATACTTATATTTTAACACTTTCTACAAGAAAGAAAGAAATCAAGACATTTAAACAAACGGAAACATTATTGATTTGGGATTATAGAAATAATATATGATTATAGTGAAAATTTTTTAGAAGTTGGCCAATATAACAAACCCAGAAATAACCATTGTTTTAATTTTGATGCATTCTCATTTAGTCTTTTGAATATTCATGATTTGAACGAGTACTGGGAAAGTCTGAAGAGAAATTTGAATGAACTCAAACCCCATCAATTCTGACCTTACTTCTCACTAGCTTTCCTCATTCTTGGTGCTCCTAGAACCCACCAGACAGGCTGGCTGCCTCAGGAGCTTTGTTCATTATTCCCTCCGTCTACATCGTCCTTGTCTCAAACACCTGCACAATTTAATCCTTGGCCTCTTTCACGTATACACTCGAGGCCTTAAAAAACCACAAACTCCGATTGTTTTGTTTATATATGTACATAGGTGGGTATACACATGCATACCTATACTAGGTTATAATTTTAGAAAAGGACCAGGCATTACCTACTCATCCCACACAAGTATCTAAATTCCATCTTAGGCTTCAGGAAGCCTTTGGAAGAGTACCGACATGCATGTGTAGAGAACACTTACTTTTATCCTGAAGCACTTTTCTCTCAGGTTTTCTGTATGGTGCTCTTCTCCATCACATAGTGAACTTCTTTCATATTTTATGACCTCTTTGTGATTCTGATGATCCTTGTACAAAGAAACAATCAGACATAACTATTCACATATAATGTATAATCATATACTTTATTAAATTTCTATATTAAGTTTTAATAATGGAATTAAACATTACACTTGTAACTCAAAAAAACAATGTTAAATATCCATCAAATGAATGGAACTAAATCTTTAGTGAGTGACCTGAACTCATTAGGAAAAAAAGTGGGAGAACCATATATTATTTGGAGATGGGATTTGTTATTCATAGTTGAAAATGAGGTTTTAGAATTTCTTTTGGTTCCTTAAACTGAATCTCTGTATTTAAAATTATTGCTGCCAACTAAACATACTAGGAAAACCACTGTCCACCTTGTGTCGCAAACCCTATTCACATATTCTTTCTCGTAACTGGGAACTGAAAATTCAGATCTTGTTTACATTCCACATTTCTCATTAAAAAGTACAAAACAAAAAATTATTTTTTGCCTACTTGTTTATTGTTATCATTACAGTACCCAGAAGCATGAGTATCTGTTGAATAAGTATTTGTCTAACGAATTAAAATTATATAAATTTAGTTATGGCTCATATATAGACGATTCCTAAGCATCTGATATTTCTGCTGAGATTCCAAATGATATTTTTTCTACTTTATTTTGTAAAGCATTCAGTTGGGCTTTTAATTATATAATATATATGAATATCTACAAATAATCATACTAGAAAAACTTTGTAATATTCATCTTCTCTTTTTTCCTTCTAACCAGCAGTTATGGACCATTTCTAGATCCCTATTAAGAGGTAGAGAAGTGGAATATTTAATCTTTTACAAATCTAACCCTTCAAATATTTTTTCTATTTAGAATAATATTTTTTATTAAACAAAACTTTAGAAATTATATTACTAAGAATATTTTGCTTTAACAAACTTTTTCTTAAAAATCAAAAGTGATGTTTTCTGAAAAACAATTTGGCCTCTTTTAAAAATGTGTTTCCTACTGATATGAAAATTATAGTAAGTTTTCCCACTATCTTTAGTATTCAAAGAAAATTCTAAGAAAAGGCCAGGCACCGTGGCACACGCCTATAATCCCAGCAGCTGGGAAGGCTGAGGCAAGAGGATTGTGAGTTCAAAGCCAGCCTCAGCACCTCAGTGAGGCACTGAACAACTCCATGAGACCCTGTCTCAAAATACAAAATAGGGCTGGGGATGTGGCTCAGTGGTCTAGTGCCTCTAAGTTCAATCCCCAGTATCAAAATTAAGAAATTTCTAAGGAAAAAACACCCATATTGGTACCCCTTTATAAAGCTTGATTCTTACAGTTACTAGAACTCACTCTAGCTATCATTTTTCTTATGATTTCTCTGAACTGGTCTCTTTCCATTTTGAGACACTCCTTTTTCCTCCTTAGCTCATTGCTTTCCTTAGCTACAGTTCTTATTTCTTCAAGATTTTCATGAAGTTTCTTAGTAGAGCACAAGTTATCCATATCCACAGTTTTCACAGATACATTTTGGGCCTCAATTTGCCTCTTCAAATGTTCCATTTCATTCATTTTTTTATCACTTTTATTGACATCTTTATTCATTTTAAGAAGTTGAAGCTCTTTTTCCTGAAGTTCTTGGATCTTGAGATAATTACAAAATAAGTTAGAATGCAAACAGAATTCCTTCATGGAAGGAAAATAGCATCTACTTGTTATATTTGTACATTTATACAAGTTAAGTATCCCTCATCTGAAGTGTTTCTGATTTTGAAATATTTACATAGTTGCTACCAGTTGAGAATCCCTAATTTGAAAATTCAAAATCTGAAAACTTTGAGGCTTACATCAGTGCTCAAAGTATAGATTTCAGAGCATTCTGGATTTCAGATTTTTGGATTAGGGATGCTCAATATATCTATATATTTTCTCATTTCTCAAGTAATTCTGGATACAGTTACTTCCAAAAAAACCCCACAAAAAACATACCTTTTTCTGTAATTCATCTTTTGATTTATCTAAATCTTTTTGAATATTTATAATTTGAGTTGTCTTTCCTGAAACTTTCTCTCTGAATTTCTCAATAGTTTGTTGTTGTTCTTTCAAATGCATATGAATAAGTTTTAGTTCCTGTTGTGTCTCCAGATCCTTTATTAGAAAAAAGAGAAATGTGATGACATAAAGAAACGTTATCTTTTCTTAATCATTAAATGAAATTTGAAAAAATGCATACTTAGTTAAAAACAACCAATCTGCCATCCCCCAAATTCGAAGTATACAGAAAGATTTAAGGTACAAATTCCTGTCTCTAACCTCCCTCACCTTAGTCCTGTTCCTTGCTGACCTGTAGCACTTGCTTTCCTCCTTTCCTATTATCCAAACAGTATAACATACTTTCTAATCAGTATCACACAAAAGGTGCTCTTTCCTAGGCTTAGTATTTCATTATACAGACGAACCCCTCGGCCAGTGCCTTATGGGTGAACACTTGAATTGCCTTTAGATTTTGATCATCCCAAACCATGCTGCAGTGAATGCTGTTATATTTTTATTCCAATGTGTGAATATGTTGGTATGATAAATCTATATAAGTGGAATTACTATATCAATGTTTATAATGATAAATTTTCAAAAAGTTAAAAGATTATAACCTTCTCACCAACAGTATCATCTATTTTCAAAGAAGGGAGGTTCTGCCTTAAGAATATGCTTACTGGACATGAAGAATGTGCACAACTCACTTTAGCAATGGTATCCTGCAAGTTTTCCTTGAGTTGGTCTCTCTCCAGCTTGAGCATCTCCTCTGATCTTATCTTATCTCTCTCTTTCATTACAGATTTCATTTCTTCGAAGTTATCTTGAAGATTCTGAGCCAAATTACCCAGAGTTAAACCTTGATCCTTGAGTTGTTTCTGTATCTCACTGACATCTTCTTTTAATTTAAAAAGTTTCTGTTCATTTCCCTTAAGCTTTTGAATCTTAAGATAATCATAATATAATGTTAGGTTACAGATTTTTAGGGAAGGACAAGGAATAGTCTCTAAGTTAATTAAGACTATAGCCCCCCTTTTTATAATCATTAACACCCTGCATAAACCCACACAAAATTAATTTTCTTTTGAGGTACAATATACAAAATGTATTCTATAATCATGTTTGTAGTTCCATTTATTCTTGACACATGCATACACCTATAAAACTACAATCCATATCAAGTCAGAGAATATTTCTGGCATTCCCTAAAGTGCCTGTGAACCCCTTCCCTAGAGGTAATTGCTATTGGGATCTTTATCATACTTGATCAGTTTTACCTACTTTTGAACCTTCCTAAGACAGTGTATTCTCCTGATGATAGGTATTTGTTTTCAAGTTTCCCACCATTTTGGATAAAGCTGCTACAGACATTCTTGTAAATGTCTTTTTAGAGATGTTATTTAGTCTTTTCTATTAGGTACATAACCAGGGAGTGGAAATACTGGGTCTTATGGCATTTAGTAAATACTGACAAGCTGTTTCTGAATGTGGCCAATCCATCTCATATTCTGAAGATTTCAAACACAACAAATCAGATATTCAATCAAAAACCCCTGCAAAATATCTTTTCTTATAATCTGGCATTTGAATTTTCTAAATCTATTTTCATATTTTCCATTTCATCTGTCTTTTCAGAAATAATTCCTGAGTTTATTAATAGTTTCTTGGTGCTCATTCAGATCCATGTGAGCAATTCTTAGTTCTTCTTGCTTTTTCAGATCCTTTTAAGAACAAGGTCATATCTTAATGTTAACTACTTTTTTTAGTGAAGTGATATATTTTCTTAGTAAAAATAATATTGCATTTACTTCTTAATTTACATTGTTGTTACAAAAGTTAAAGACTTTCTCTTACTGTCCTTATTCTCCACACTCTACTCCTCTTTTAGAAGTAAACACACTACACATAACTATTTAACAGCTGGATTCCTCCACTTCAGGGTTATCTTGGACTTCCAAATAGGATGTCAAAATCTGTTTCACTTTTTGTAGGGCTGAACAGGATTTTGATATATGGCTCAGATTTACCCAGTTTCCTTGGGAGGAACATTTAAATTGTTTCCCATTTTTATTACAAACTACTACAATGAACAACTTTGTGGTGTACATATGTATGTATGTTTGTGTGTATATATTTATTTAAGTAATTGAGTCAGTATACATGTAGGATAAAATCTATGAAGAAAATGCTGGTTATATAACTTAAAGTTTTTAAGAAAAAGAATATTAAATTATCTGCTTAAAAGATTATCATGTCGCTCTTGCCAACAATATCACTTGTTTCAAAGAAGGTTCATTGCTCTAAGAAAACATTTATTTGCTAGCAAGAAGAATGAGTGTAATTTACTTTTGCTTCTGTTTCTCTAAGGCTTTCCCTCAGCTTGTCTCGTTCCATTTTGAGAGTTTCCTCCACAATTCTTAGGCCATCATTTTCCTCAGTAAAAAATTTCAGTTTTTCAAGGCTCTCATTTATTTTCTGAGTCAACATTAACTTCTCTAATTCTAAACTCTCCAGAGTTGAGTTCTGAACTTCCAGTTGTTTCTTCAGTTGCTCTGTTTCATACATATTTTCCTTCACGTCATTTTTTACTTTAAGAAGTTGATGTTCTTTCTCCCGAAGTTCTTGGATCTTGAGATAAACATGCAATAAGTTAGGATATTGAAGATATAAATAAAAACCCAAATAATAGCTTCAAAGTTGAGTAGATAAATCTTGTCTTCAATTTTAGGCTAATTCATGTCCCGTTTCATTATACAAAAGACCTGATTTGAACTCCTAGTTACTCAAATAACAACTTAAAAGAAAATACCTGTGCTTTTATGGCAGCATTTGCATTTTCTAAGTTCATTTGCATATTTGATATTTCATCAATTTTTTCAGAAACAGTTCTTTGGAGTTTATCAATAGTTTCTTGGTGCTCTTTCAGATCCATGTGAGCAATTCTTAGTTCCTCTTGTTTCTCTAAGTCCTTTATTATTAGAGGAAGAAAAAATATCGAGAGTAACACAATTAAAATGCTATAGTAAGATAGAAGGCAAGAAGTAAAAGTCCTCCTTAACCTTTATAAGGCTTCCCAGTCTTCACCCTTTAAGCCACTTCAGAATGTCAACACTTGCTCTGGATATATTCTACAACAGAATAAATTTCTGTTGCTGTAAGCCACCAAGGTTATGGTAATTTGATATACCATCCCTAGGAAACTGATATAGGCTGATCAAGATGATAAAGTAAAAATGTAAAAATAAAGTTGAAAGGCATAGATAAGCATTTAAATATAGGCACCAAATAAATAATTCTCCTTTATCTTAAAAAACTTTTAAAATTTGTAGCTCTCAATGGACTTTTATTTTATTTATTTATTTATATGTGGTGCTGAGAATCAAACCCAGTACCTCACCATGCTAGGCAAGCCACTGAATCACAACCCCAGCACCTTATTTTCAATTTTAAGTAAGAAGGAGAGGCCTAAAACAAATTCAGAGGCATTAACTTCCAAGGCTGTTGACTTCACTTCCTTAGGAGGAGTAAAATAGACACAAGGTTTTAGCAAATTCAATCAGATGAGATAAGGAAAGGGAAAGGGATTTGGCTTAAAAGAAAATATAGCTTAGGAAAAAAATACTACACAGAAGAACAACAGAAACCACAGCATATTATCTATAATGCAAGTGGCACTGCTCTTAGCTTAAATAGACCTCTGTGGTTGTATTTCAGAATCACTTGGGCAGTATGGTTGTTACAGGAGTCTTGGGTTTTATACATGCATTGCACCATCCTACCTCCACGAAAGGAGTGATTTAAGGAGTGATTTGGGAAACTACAAACGTCTTAGTGATGGTGATAGTATTAAGCCTTTCATTTTAAAGACCAACAAATACATCTTCATATGGGGAGGATTTTTGCTTTGTTGACTAATGTCTCTTAAGTGCCCAGGATGATGCCTGGCCCATATACTGTTCAACAAGTATTTGACTGATGACTACATCAGATGATTAGTTTAAAAGATCAAGGTCCCTTCTCACCTAAAGACTCTGGAATAATGTAACCTCACAAAAAATGTTAGTTAGGATTCTGTGAATTGAAACTTCAAAATACCGGAATGAAGATCTGTTCTTTTGCAAATATAATGTGCTATTCTTGCATTTAGGCTATGGGAATCAAAAACTATTATCAAAATTGTTTAATCAAGAAAAATGGCCAGGAAGATAACTTAAAAAAAATTTACCTTTTCCTTTAGCTTTTCTTCAACTTCTGCCAGTCTCTCACAGGTCTTAGAAAGCTCTTTGTCTTTCTTCATGACGTGGTTCTTTTCTTGTACAACTATCTCTTGTTGCTTTTTAAGTTCATCTTCAAGAATTCTTAATTCTTCCTGGTTTTTAATGGTCTAGAATAAAACAAGAAGTTGGGATTAAAACAAATAATATTAGCTTACATTTATGAAACCAGGTAAAAATCGGCATTTACCGCAGCCTATAAATGAAGAAACTATATAGTGAAACTATATAGTAAAAATGAATTTAAAAGAAAGTGAATCTTTAATCATAGAGAATCTGCTTTTTATGTTCAATTATTATTGCTCAGTTTATATTCCTATGAGAATTAGAATTGGATTTACCATCCAATCAAGAAAGTTTAGCTCATTTTCTGTGCCTAAACTCAAAAAGACTGCTAAGTGTTCACTGACTGAGTTTCTCACATGAAGCATTAGCTTTGGTTTTGAGCACTATCATCAGCAAACTCAAAATGGTAGCTGCCCTTTGTAGCACTATGAGGGCTAACTTGTCATGAAGCTTGCACAGTTGGCATTCTCATGTATCAAGACCACAAAACAACATGCCAGAGTTAGAATGTAATTTTTGTTTATTTAATTTATGCATATTTACATTTAGCAATTTGGACAGAGCAGACTTTTCCAAGAAACGTGAAAAATTAGAAAACACAGATCCCTACTGTGATCTATAGAGAATTTCTCCATTTATCAATTCAACCTGTACAGATTATACTTCCTCCAAACAAAGATACAAAAACTAAAGGAGGTGTGAAGATATTGGCAAATGCCAACAATTAAAAATAAAGGTAAAAAATTACAACAGTAAGAGAAATACTTAGGATCAAATTTAATAAAATAAGTAAAAGGATTGTAGAATAAAAACCTGTAACACTGTATTGAGAGATAGATAAATTATAGAAGACATCTAAAAGCCAGTTAGTATATGAAAAAGTGTTCAGCATCTTTAGTCATTAGGGAAAGGCAAATCAAAACAACACGACATATATTCATTAGAGTGGCTAAAATTAAAAGCACCAGTAAATACGAAGTGTTGGTGAGGAAGGATGTGGAACCACCAGAATTTTCTCAATTTGCTGATATGAATGTAAAATGGTAAAACTCATTTGGAAATCAGTCTAGCAAATTCTAATCAAGGTAATATACATTTCCCTATGTCTTAGCAACTCCATTTAGTGAGTACACAGGCAGAAACATTTGTCAAAAGTAACCGAACTGTATACTTCCACGAGATACATATAGCGCTTGTAGAATATATCTCAATAAAATTGATAAAAATCTAAAACAAAGACAAAAATGCTATCACCAAGTTTATAGTGCTAAATCTTACCATTTCAATATTTTCCTTTAGGTCAGTCTTTAGTTGTTCCTTTTCTGCTGTAATACTTTCCAACATTTGTTGGAGTTCATTTTTCTCCTGTATTAAAGAACAGATCATTTTCTGTTGCTCAGTCACACCACTATCCTTAAGGTCTCCAATTAATGCCTGGCTTGTTTTAGCTTCCAAATTCTGTTTCTTATTTATGTCTCCTACCTAAAATAGAAATACATTAAAGAAGATTTTTTTAAATTTGTTCTAATTAGTTATACATGACAGTAGAATGTATTTTGACAAATCATACATAGATGGAACATAATTTCTCATTTGTCTGGTTGTACATAATGTAGTTACACAGGTCGTGTAATCATATATGCACTTAGGGTACTAATGCCCCATTCATTCTATTATCATTCTTATCCCAATGCCTCTTCCCCTTCCTTCACTCCCCTCTTTCTAGTCCAAAATATCTCTATCCCCCTCCTCTCCCCACTGTGAATTAGCATCCACATATCAGAGAAAACATTTGGCTCTTGGTTCTTTGGATTGACTTATTTGGCTTAGCATAATATTCTCCAGTTCCATCCATTTAGCAGCAAATGCCATAATTTCATTTTTCTTTAAGGTTGAATAGTATTACATTGTGTATATATACCACAGTTTTTTTAAACCTTTATTTTATTTATTTATTTTTACGTTGTGCTGAGGATTGAACCCAGAGCCTTGCACATGGTAGGCGAGTGCTCTACCACTGGGCCACAAACCCAGCTCCTATATACCACAGTTTTAAAGAAGAATTTCTTAAGTAGTCAATAACAATCACTTTAATATTAAACAAACACCTAACTATCATGTTTTATTATGTACCAGGCATTGCTCTCATATTTTAACACGTTTAACTTTTACTACAACTTTGAGGTAGATATTATTAATATCTGCATTTGACTGATGAGACAGTTGGATTATAGAGGGGTAAAGTCACTTACTCAAGGTGATACAAAGAGAGGAATAGCCAGACTCAAGGGTCTAGCTCCAGAGCTTGTGAATTTTGACCTGTTCACTGATGAGAACTATCTGGACAACTATAAATATTATAATTATTTTCATGTATGATATTTTAACCTGACTTTATGTATATTCACTTACTTCAAACCAATTATAAAATTAAAAGACAAATCCCTTTCCTTTCTATATATCTTCCATAAATATTGCATAACTTTCACACTAGAAGTATTTTTTCTTCTAAAGAAGGAAGAAGCAACTTTAAACTTAGTCCCTTTATTTTCCCCATCTGAGTCATCTCTAGCTCTTACTTCTAGTAAAGCTTCATTTTTCAGAACTGTTTACTTACAAAAATCATAAGTTTTATTATAAGCAGAGAACAAAATTTTGATAGAAGCTCATTTCTTTTTGTAAAAGCGTGATACATCTTTTCTCAATGTGTTTTTACATTCTGCATGTTATAATAATTTATTAATGCATAAATAAGTCATAACCAAATGTAACCTAATGTATGAACTTTTTGGTAAAGGAAAACAAAACAAAGACTGACACTACAATTGTTGTATGAAATTAGGGAACCATTCAGCTTCATATTGACCACACTCTACAAGTTTCTATAATATCTCTAATCACATAGCTGGTACGTTTAATTCATATGGATATGGTCTGTAAAAGAATACAAAGCAGACTGAAATAGTCTTTTGTAATGATACTCAAAGTACATTTCAAATCTGAACTCACTCTAGAAAGTATTTCAGCTACTCCAGTTGGTTATAAGTACAATCTAATAGCCCTAATTATTAAAAAAAAAATGTCATTTATATGAGATGAAGTTCACTAATTCCAAAATTTAAAATTTCTATTGAGATCAACTAAAGAAAATTAGATTTCCAGAAAGAGACACAAACAGGATTGAAAATGATTCCTTTAAGTGGATTTAGGATAGACCTATCACAGGAGCCTTCTGGTTCCCAGGTAAACAGAGTGCCCCTGGGAATCCCCAGACTCATTCATTATTATATTGTTAATTCCAACATGAACATGATACCATAAAGCACAGGAAGCAAAAGTAAAAATAGATACATTTGAGTACATCAAAATTAAAAATCTCCTTAGAGAATAGAATAGTGGTTGAAATAAGAACTTTTACATAGAACACTTGAAGACTGCAGTAGTTAATATTTTGGTTGCTTTTTTTTCCCCCTTTCCCCTCACATCCTCTTATATGTAATTTTGTATAACAATCAGGGTATCCTTCCATTTCCATGCAATTCCCCTTCTCTCTCCCTTTCCCTCCCACCTCTCGTCCCTGTTTAATGGTAATCTTCTTCTCATGCTCTTCCTCCCTGCTCTGTTTTGAGTTGCCCTCCTTATATCAAAGAAGACATTCAGCATTTTTTTTTTTTTTTAGGGATTGGCTAGTTTCACTTAGCATAATCTGCTCTAATGCTATCCATTTTCCTGCAAATGCCATGATTTTGTTATTTTTTAGTGCTGAGTAATATTCCATTGTGTATAAATGCCACATTTTTTTTTTTTATCCATTCATCTATTGAAGGGCATCTAGGTTGGTTCCACAGTCTAGCTATTGTGAATTGTGCTGCTATGAACATCCATGTAGCTGTATCCCTATAGTACGCTCTTTTTAGGTCTTTGGGGAATAGTCTGAGAAGGGGAAGGGAGAGAAATGAATTACAGTAGATGGGGTAGAGAGAGAAGATGGGAGGGGAGGGGAGGAGAGGGAGGATAGGAAGGGGATAGGAAAGGCAGCAAAATACGACACTAGGATGGCAGTATGTATAAACTTGGATGTGTAACCAATGTGATCCTGCAATCTATACACATGGTAAAAATGGGAGTTCATAACCCACTTGAATCAAATGTATAAAATATGTTAAGAGCATTGTAATGTTTTCAACAACCAATAAAAAATAAATAAAGTAAATAAAATAAAATATTATTTTATTGGAAAAAAAATATTTGATTTTGGAAATTATCTGACTTTGTTCCCCTTTCCTTCTAATGGCTGCTGATTTTGCTCTTGATCATTTTATACTGCCCTATGTGAGCCCTACATATGTAATTTTATTGTCAGCGGTCTCAAGTCCAATCTTCTACATTGATAGAGTATATGCTGTTAATTAATAAAATTTATTTCTTATCTTCCCTCTGGAAAAAAAATTTTTTTTGGTTGCTAAGTGGAATAAGCCAATCACCCAAAACCAAAGGCTAAATGTTTTTTCTGATATGCAGATACTAATTCTCAATAAGCAGGGGTACAGAGTTACTTTAGGTAGAGGGGAGTGGGTATGGGAGTAGGAAGGATAATAGAATGAATCAGACAGTATTATACTATGTACATATATGATTACATGACTGATGTGAATCTACATCATGTTCAACCAGAGAATGAGAATTCTATTTATGTATGATGTGTCAAAGTGCACTCTAGTGTCATTCATAACTAATTAGAACAAATTTAAAAAATAAAAGAATGAAATATAATAATGAAAGATTATTAAAAATTTCTGTTGATAATATATATCTTAAAGGTATTATGAGGAAAGTAGAAATCTAAAGTAAACCAAACCCTTGTATAAAATTATAGGCAATCCTTTCTGTAACAGATTAAACTGAACTCTAAGCAAGTTTAGTATAGAGAATTCTGAGATAAACTATTTCAGTTATAATAGTCAATCCTCCTTCTTAGCGTTCAGAAGTTCTTTTAAAGATATTTAAAATACATCAAATCTCAGAAAATATCAGCTCTTCAAAGTTTGAACCAATACTTTTTTTGCCCTTTGCTTTTCAAATTGTAAGGGAAGTTATTTCAAAGAGAGAGTAGAGTCTTATAAAATTGAGTTATTACCATTGTGAATAACAAATAAAATTGAAATTACCATTACATATTAGGTGTTGGGAGGTCAAAGAGAAAATCTGAAATTAAATAACCTGTACCTTTTGCTGAAATTCATCTTTAGTTTTTCCTAGGTTTTCTTCTAAAAGTGAGTTCCCAGAAGTTTTCTCAGAAATTTTCATTTTTAGTGTATTAATTGTTTCTTGGTGTTGTTTCAAAGACTCGAGAGCACTTCGTAATTGTTCTTGTGAATCTATGTTCTTGTTGAAGAAACAGAAAACAATTTCCATTTTATAGTGACCATTTAATCATAGATAAGCAGTCTTATCAATGATAGCTCCTGTGCCATGTTTGAAGAGGCTCCAATATTTGTAAAGTTTAATCTAATCATTCAAAGCCTTACCAGATTTATAGTGTCTTGAATATCACTTTTGAGTTGGTCTCTCTCAATCTGCAGGCTCTCCTGGAGTTGTTTTAGGTCATCTTTTTCTCGGGTTAAGGTTTTCACTTCTTCTAAGGCTTTCTGAAGTTTCTCAGTAATCAGTGTTGTCTCCTTTTCTACAGCTTGTAGCCTAGAATCTCTGCTTTCTAATTGTTCCTTCAGTTGTTCCATTTCATTTAACCTTTCTTGACCCTCAGTTGTTTTCTGCTGAAGCTCTTGAGTTTTGTGAGAAAGCTTTAAAATAAGAAAAAGTAAATGTGACATAGTAAAAGCAGAGTTTTCTGTAGAAGATAGAAATCAAACTCAAGAAGATTGAAGACCATGTCTTTGGATATCATTTTGTACTAACCTCAGTCTTCAAAGCATCCAAACTTAAACCAAGATTCTCTGCTTCTTTAGAAAGATTTCCTATTTCCTGATTCATTCTCTCATTCTCTTCAAGGACCATTTTATATTTTTGTTCACATTCTATATGAAGGGTTTTTAAATCTTCAAATTCTTGCTCAGTGCTTTTATAATTCAACTGGGTAGTTGTTAGGTCATCTTTAGTTTTTTCAATTTCTTCCAGTAAACCTTGAATTCTACTCTCCTTATGAGCTACTTCAGAAAACAATTTGTCTTTTTCTGATATTATTATAGAGAGCTCTTCAGATTTTTCATGGATCTATGGAAAAAATTTAGGGATGTTAGCAATGTATGATCTGCTGAATCAATTTTCAGGAAAACAAGTTTTCCTCTGGGGGAGGGGATCATTTAAATCAAGCAAAAATTTGACTAGGGAAAGGCAATATTCTTACTGTTACTTCTCTACCCTGGCCTGTTTAAGTTTACCTTTAATGTTTTGTTCACTAACGTCTTTGGGTTCTAGTAAAGATTGCATGGAGAAGGTCAACTAGTAGAAACAAGTAGGGTGTATCTTAATGTCCTTAGCTGTCATTCTAAAGTATTATGTGGCAGCAGGCATTTTATGGTTTTTCTCAGAATTTGACCTCTTTAAAAAAAAAAAAGGCTTTGAATGTAGCTCAGATTTCTAAAAATTCAATCTATTTATAATTTAAATGATGTTTTATTATTAAAAATATCTAAAAAGCATCATTAAAGTAACTAAGTAACCCACATCCAGTTCATGGATAGTTTAATAATTGTGAAAATAAGCTAGGAAGGAGATGAGAAGGTGGAAGGAGACTAAAGGAGAAACAAAGGAGAGAAGGTAATATAGCATGGTGGCTACATTCATGGCAGATTTCTGTCACTCAACTATTAGTTTGAGAACTATTTTTTTTTTGGATGAAAAGTAGCACCCTCTTTTGTACTTCTTCACCAAAAGGTTGCGAAGTGGTAGTGACTACTTTTTGAAAGCTTATAGAATAACTAAAGAAAACGTTCCTAAGGGATGAGGAAGCCCAGCGTCAGCCCAGCCCAGACGGGAGGAGGAAGCTGGGCGCCAAGCCAGACAGGAGGAGGAAGCCCAGCATTGCCCCGCGTGCTAGTCCGGAGGAAGCCCATCAACCCTTAAAACCCATCAAAGGGGTTGTGACTACCAGCACAGTTCTACGGCTGATCCAGGTACCAGGTTTCCAACTCCCCCACCCATAGCTGCGATAACTCAAAAAATTTCCCACAAGCTTTTGGCGGTTCTAGCTATCAATGCAAAACAACAACTGTACTGGCACCTGGTTTCCACCTCAGAGACTAGAGTAGGGAAGATACAGGTGGAACCTCATGTCCTTTCACACTGGCTATATCCACCACCCTGAACACAGAGGCTCAAGCTAGGAATAGACAACGCCACCTACTGGAAGCAAGGAAAAGAGTGTTCTGAGAGACTTTTTTTTTTCTCTTTCTCTCTTTTCTTCTCTCTCTTTCACAACCTCAACATATGTGAAAGCAAGAACTGTGCATGAACAACTGAATCACTAAAATAACATAATATAGAGGAATTGCATTTACCCCACCTTCCCCCATTTTTTTCTTTATTTCTATCTTACTTTCTTTTTCCTTCTCTCTTATTTCTCTTTTCTTCCTTGTTATTTTTTTTTCTTTTCTTCATTCGTATTCCTTCTTCCCACTTTCAACCTCCTAACTTTTGCTTTCTATACATAGGGTAACTATCTAAATACAGATAGGAGGTTGAGTCTATACATTCTTCCATAAATTACCAGTCTATTGGTTAGAGTTCTCCAAATTTGCTAAGTTTGTTTAACCTCATACCCACACTCCTTTCCCTCTAAGTATAACATCCTTCGTCTGAAATTACGTTTTCTATATGCCACCAGATATGGTATGCCATTTATGAAACTAATGACTATATTCTTAAATAATATTTAAAACCAATATCTGTAGACTTAGAATTTAACTATAAATGTATTAATAATGGAAACTTGTGCTTAGATGATGTACTGTTGATAATGAGAACTGTTAACATTGTCTTTTTCCGCAAAAGAGGGATTTTGGAGCTATACAAGAACAATATAAATATATAAGGGGAAAACCATTAACACAACAGTTTCACAAAGCTAGAAAAAAACATGAGCAGTATAAAAAGACAAGGAAAGAAAGGACCACAAACAATACAGGTCAATTCAACATTAGAAGAGGTAATATCTGCAGCTGATGGAATGTCAGATAAAGAGTTCAGGATATACATGCTTCAGTGATCTGGAGTCTCAAGGAAGACATTATACAGCAAATTCAGACAATGAAAGATCACTTTGACAATGAATTGCATAAACAAATCCAAGAAGCAAAAGATCAACTCTATAGGGAAATAGAGGATATAAAAAACAAACAAACAGAAATCCTGGAAAAACAGGAAACAATAAACCAAATTAAAAACTCAAATGAGAGTATTACCAGCAGAGTAGAACACTTAGAAGATAGAACTTCAGACAACGAAGACAAAGTTTTTCAACTTGAAAAGAACATAGACAGCTCAGCGAGAATGTTTAGAAATCATGAGCAGAACATCCAAGAATTATGGGATAACATAAAGAAACCAAACTTAAGAGTTATTGGGATACAAGAGGGTATAGAGGTTCAATCCAAAGGAATGAGCAATCTATTCAATGAAATAATACTAGAAAACTTCCCAGACTTAAAGAATGAAAAAGAAATCCAAATACTAGAAGCCTACAGGACACTGAATGTACAAAATCATAAGAGATCCTCACCAAGACACATAATAATGAAGATGCCCAACATACAGAATAAGAAGAGAATCTTAAAAGCCACAAGAGAGAGGAAGCAGATTACATTTAGGGGTAAACCAATCAGGATAAGAGCTGATCTTTCAACACAGACTCTGAAAGCTAGAAGATCCTGGAACAATATATTTCAAACACTGAAAGAAAAAGGTTCCTACCAAGAATCATGTATCCAGCGAAATTAAGCTTCAGGATGGAAGAGGAAATTAAAACCTTTCACGATAAACAAAAGTTAAAAGAATTTGCAGCTAGAAAACCAGGTCTTCAAAACATCCTTGGCAAAACATTACAGAAAGAGGAAATGAAAAATAACATTGAAAACCAACAGCGGGAGGTAGTACAGTAAAGGAAAAACTAATAGAGAAAAAACAAATCATGTTAAGTAACATACATAATCAAATATGGCTGGAAGTACAAACCATATCTCAATAGTAACCCTAAATGTTAATGGCTTAAATGCACCAATCAAAAGACAAAGGCTAGTAGAATGGATTAAAAAAACAAGATCCAACAATATGCTCCCTACAGGAGACTCAATCTGATAGGAAAAGACATACACAGACTGAAGGTGAAAGGTTGGGAAAAATCATACCACTCATATGGACCCCGGAAGCAAGCAGGGGTATCCACAGTGGTATCAACTAAAATAGACTTCAAGCCAAAGTTAATCAAAAGGGATAAACAAGGACACTACATACTGCTCAAGGGAACCATACACCAACAAGACTTGTATATCAGTGACAAATTCTTGAAATGGAAATGAGGACAACTACTCCATTCACAATATACTCAAAAAAAAAAAAAAAAACAAAAAAAACCTGGGAATCAACAAAAGAGGTGAAAGAGCTATACAATGAAAACTACAGAACCCTGAAGAAAAAATAGAAGAAGACCTTAGAAGATGGAAGGATTTACCTTGCTCATGGATTGGTAGAATTAATATTATTAAGATGGCCATACTACCAAAAGCACTTTACAGATTCAATGCAATTCCCATTAAAATCCCAATGACATTCCTTGCAGAAACAGAAAAAGCAATCATGAAATTCTTCTGGAAAAACAGGAGACCCAGAATAGCTAAAGTAATTTTAAGCAGGAAGAGTGAAATTGGTGGTATCACGATTCCAGATTCTAAACTATACTACAGAGCAATAGTAACAAAAACAGCATAGTACTGGCACCAAAACAGGCTGGTAGACCAATGGTACAAAATAGAGGACACAGAGACAAATCCACAAAATTACAACTACCTTATATTAGACAAAGGTGCTAAAACCATGCAATGGAGAAAGGATAGCATCTTCAACAAATGGTACTGGGAGAACTGGAAATCCATATGCAACAAAATGAAATTGAATCCCTTTCTCTCACCATGCACAAAAGTCAACTCAAAATGGATCAAGGAGCTAGGAATCAGAACAGAGAGACTGTGTCTAATAGAAGATAAAGTTGGTCCTAATCATCATCACGTGGGGGCAGGCCCCAAATTTCTTAATAAGACACCTATAGCACAAGAGTTAAAATCAAGAATCAACAAATGGGATGAATTCAAACTAAAAAGTTTTTTCTCAGCAAGAGAAATAATATGCGAGGTGAATAGGGAGCTAACATCCTGGGAACAAATTTTTACCCCTCAAACATCAGATAGAGCTCTAATCGCTAGAGTATACAAAGAACTCAAAAAGTTAAACAACAAAAAAGAAAATAACCCAATCAACAAATGGGCCAAGAACTTGAACAGAAACTTCTCAGAAGAGGATATACATCAATCAACAAATACATGAAAAAATGCTCACCATCTCTAGCAATCAGAGAAATGCAAATTAAAACTACTCTAAGATACCATCTCACTCCAATAAGAATGGCAGCCATTATGAAGTCAAACAACAATGAGTGCTGGCGGGGATGCGGGGGAAAAAGGTACACTCACACATTGCTGGTGGGACTGCAAATTGGTGCATCCAATTTGGAAAGCAGTATGGAGATTCCTTAGAAAGCATGGGAATGGAACCACCACTTGACCCAGCTACTTCCCTTCTCGGTCTATTCCCTAAAGACGTAAAAAGAGCATACTACACGGACACTGCTACATCAATGTTCATAGCAGCAAAATTCACAATAGCAAGACTGTGGAACCAACCTAGATGCCCTTCAATAGATTAAAAAAATGTGGCATTTATACACAATGGAATATTACTGAGCACTAAAAAATAATAAAATCATGGCATTTGCAGGCAAATGGATGGCATTAGAGCCGATTATGCTAAGTGAAGTTAGCCAATCCCTAAAAAACAAATGCCAAATGTCTTCTCTGATATAAGGGGGGTGACTCAAAATGGGACAGGGAGGAAGAGCATGAGAAGAAGATTACCACTAAATAGAGAAGAGAGGTGGGAGGGAAAAAGAGGGAGAAGGGGAGTTGCACAGAAGATGGGAGGAGAACCTCATTGTTATACAGAATACATATATGAGGTTGTGATGAGAAAAAGAAAAAAGAAAGTGTGTCACATTAGATTGGATAGAGAGAAAGAATGGGAGAGGAGGGGAAGAGTAGGGAGGATAGGAAGGGCAGCAGAATAGAATAGACAATATGATTGAGGTATGCACATTCCATGTATGAATTATATATCAAAATGCATTCTACTGTCATGTATGAGTAAAAAATAAATAAATAAATAAAAATTTCATAAAAAAAAAAAAAAAAAAATCTGCCCTTGGCGGCAATTCTCAACACTTTTTGTGGTCAAGAAACCAAACAATCTCAATGTTAACTAGAGTATTAGATTTTCAAATAAAGTTATTTATTTTTGGTTTTGAAAAAAAAAAAGTAAATAAATAAATTAAAAAAAAAAAAAAGAAAAAGAAAAAGAAAATGTTCCTAAGATTCTTTAGTATGAAGTTTGGCATAAAGTAAGCACTCAAATTGTTATTTTAAATTGTTTTTTAGCTGTCAATGAACCTTTAGTTTACTTATTTATTTGTGGTGCTAAGGATTGAACCCAGTGCCTCACGCATGCAAGGCAAGTGGTCTACCATTGAGCCACAATCCCAGCCCTTATTATTATTATTATTTTTTTTTCCAGAAAAGTAGAAAGGGAAAAGTTGGTAGGCTGTGGACTTAAGAATCATTTCCTAGTCTAAAAGATTTATACTGATTCATAAAGCTTTATTAGTGGCGCATCTTTATCTCGTTGCTTTTCTTTTTAAATAGATAAGCAAATCTAAATATTTATTTATTTTTAAAAATTTAAATTTGTTCTTTTTAGATATACATGAAAATAGATTGTATTTTGATATATTATGCATACATGAAGTATAACTCCCCATTCTTGTGGTTGTAAATGATGTGGAGTTATACTGGTTGTGTATTCATACATGAGCACAGGAAGGTATTGCTTTCTTTTACTCAATAAAATGAAACAAAACCCTCCAAAAAGGTGAAGACTAAGGATAGGAGATGAAATTTTCTAAATGTGACATTTGATGATTATAAAAATGGCTGTGACATGGATTATGTTACCAAGTATGCTGTTAAATATATTTCAAAAGTAAATTTTTTTTCTATCTAGTAGCCTAAGAATAAATTAGAAGTTGAATGTCTCTTGCCTGCTACTCAGAAATAAACTATATAAAAATATTTCAGGCACTCTTTGTAAAGGTTCTTATTTCAAAACAAGGATTAATTAGTCAAAAATCTGTTTACCTCTTTCCTCAGCATTTCTAGTTCAGGGGGTAAAGATTTCAGCTCTGAGAGTAAATCAACTTCTTTTTGTAGAGCTTCATCGTCTTTAGATTCTATATTCAGTTCTTTCTGTAGAAAAAAGAACTTTTACAAAGAACACTTGAAGACTGCAGTAGTTAATATTTTGGTTGCTAAGTGGAATAAGCCAATCCCCCAAAACCAAAGGCTAAATGTTTTTTTCTGATATGCAGATACTAATTCTCAATAAGCAGGGGTACAGAGTTACTTTAGATTAGGTAGAGGGGAGTGGGAATGGGAGTAGGAAGGATAATAGAATGAACCAGACAGTATTATACTATGTACATACATGATTACATGACTGGTGTGATTCTACATCATGTTCAACCAGAGAATGAGAAATCTATTTATGTATGATGTGTCAAAGTGCACTCTAGTGTCATTCATAACTAATTAGAACAAATTTAAAAAAATAAAAGAATGAAATATAATAATGAAAGATTATTAAAAATTTCTGTTGATAATATATATCTTAAAGGTATTATGAGGAAAGTAGAAATCTAAAGTAAACCAAACCCTTGTATAAAATTATAGGCAATCCTTTCTGTAACAGATTAAACTGAACTCTAAGCAAGTTTAGTATAGAGAATTCTGAGATAAACTATTTCAGTTATAATAGTCAATCCTCCTTCTTAGCGTTCAGAAGTTCTTTTAAAGATATTTAAAATACATCAAATCTCAGAAAATATCAGCTCTTCAAAGTTTGAACCAATACTTTTTTTGCCCTTTGCTTTTCAAATTGTAAGGGAAGTTATTTCAAAGAGAGAGTAGAGTCTTATAAAATTGAGTTATTACCATTGTGAATAACAAATAAAATTGAAATTACCATTACATATTAGGTGTTGGGAGGTCAAAGAGAAAATCTGAAATTAAATAACCTGTACCTTTTGCTGAAATTCATCTTTAGTTTTTCCTAGGTTTTCTTCTAAAAGTGAGTTCCCAGAAGTTTTCTCAGAAATTTTCATTTTTAGTGTATTAATTGTTTCTTGGTGTTGTTTCAAAGACTCGAGAGCACTTCGTAATTGTTCTTGTGAATCTATGTTCTTGTTGAAGAAACAGAAAACAATTTCCATTTTATAGTGACCATTTAATCATAGATAAGCAGTCTTATCAATGATAGCTCCTGTGCCATGTTTGAAGAGGCTCCAATATTTGTAAAGTTTAATCTAATCATTCAAAGCCTTACCAGATTTATAGTGTCTTGAATATCACTTTTGAGTTGGTCTCTCTCAATCTGCAGGCTCTCCTGGAGTTGTTTTAGGTCATCTTTTTCTCGGGTTAAGGTTTTCACTTCTTCTAAGGCTTTCTGAAGTTTCTCAGTAATCAGTGTTGTCTCCTTTTCTACAGCTTGTAGCCTAGAATCTCTGCTTTCTAATTGTTCCTTCAGTTGTTCCATTTCATTTAACCTTTCTTGACCCTCAGTTGTTTTCTGCTGAAGCTCTTGAGTTTTGTGAGAAAGCTTTAAAATAAGAAAAAGTAAATGTGACATAGTAAAAGCAGAGTTTTCTGTAGAAGATAGAAATCAAACTCAAGAAGATTGAAGACCATGTCTTTGGATATCATTTTGTACTAACCTCAGTCTTCAAAGCATCCAAACTTAAACCAAGATTCTCTGCTTCTTTAGAAAGATTTCCTATTTCCTGATTCATTCTCTCATTCTCTTCAAGGACCATTTTATATTTTTGTTCACATTCTATATGAAGGGTTTTTAAATCTTCAAATTCTTGCTCAGTGCTTTTATAATTCAACTGGGTAGTTGTTAGGTCATCTTTAGTTTTTTCAATTTCTTCCAGTAAACCTTGAATTCTACTCTCCTTATGAGCTACTTCAGAAAACAATTTGTCTTTTTCTGATATTATTATAGAGAGCTCTTCAGATTTTTCATGGATCTATGGAAAAAATTTAGGGATGTTAGCAATGTATGATCTGCTGAATCAATTTTCAGGAAAACAAGTTTTCCTCTGGGGGAGGGGATCATTTAAATCAAGCAAAAATTTGACTAGGGAAAGGCAATATTCTTACTGTTACTTCTCTACCCTGGCCTGTTTAAGTTTACCTTTAATGTTTTGTTCACTAACGTCTTTGGGTTCTAGTAAAGATTGCATGGAGAAGGTCAACTAGTAGAAACAAGTAGGGTGTATCTTAATGTCCTTAGCTGTCATTCTAAAGTATTATGTGGCAGCAGGCATTTTATGGTTTTTCTCAGAATTTGACCTCTTTAAAAAAAAAAAAGGCTTTGAATGTAGCTCAGATTTCTAAAAATTCAATCTATTTATAATTTAAATGATGTTTTATTATTAAAAATATCTAAAAAGCATCATTAAAGTAACTAAGTAACCCACATCCAGTTCATGGATAGTTTAATAATTGTGAAAATAAGCTAGGAAGGAGATGAGAAGGTGGAAGGAGACTAAAGGAGAAACAAAGGAGAGAAGGTAATATAGCATGGTGGCTACATTCATGGCAGATTTCTGTCACTCAACTATTAGTTTGAGAACTATTTTTTTTTTTGGATGAAAAGTAGCACCCTCTTTTGTACTTCTTCACCAAAAGGTTGAGAAATGGTAGTGACTACCTTTTGAAAGCTTATAGAATAACTAAAGAAAATGTTTCTAAGGTTCTTTAGTATGAAGTTTGCCATAAATAGACATGCAAATCTAAATATTTATTTATTTTTAAAAATTTAAATTTGTTCTTTTTAGATATACATGAAAATAGATTGTATTTTGACATATTATGCATACATGAAGTATAACTCCCCATTCTTGTGGTTGTAAATGATGTGGAGTTATACTGGTTGTGTATTCATACATGAGCACAGGAAGGTATTGCTTTCTTTTACTCAATAAAATGAAACAAAACCCTCCAAAAAGGTGAAGACTAAGGATAGGAGATGAAATTTTCTAAATGTGACATTTGATGATTATAAAAATGGCTGTGACATGGATTATGTTACCAAGTATGCTGTTAAATATATTTCAAAAGTAAATTTTTTTTCTATCTAGTAGCCTAAGAATAAATTAGAAGTTGAATGTCTCTTGCCTGCTACTCAGAAATAAACTATATAAAAATATTTCAGGCACTCTTTGTAAAGGTTCTTATTTCAAAACAAGGATTAATTAGTCAAAAATCTGTTTACCTCTTTCCTCAGCATTTCCATTTCAGGGGGTAAAGATTTCAACTCTGAGAGTAAATCAACTTCTTTTCGTAGAGCTTCATTCTCTTTAGATTCTCTATTCAGTTCTTTCTGTAGATCAGTAATCCTTCTTTCCAATTCCAAATTACAGAGCAAATCTAGGAAGTTTTTGGTGAATTAGAGGGCCAATGTTGTCAAATAGGTAATCTAATTTTGAAAGTTCTTTAACCAACCTTTTTCAAGGTCAGATCCAGTGTATTTGAAAAGTAATTTTTAAACCCTTGTGATTTGAAAATGGAAAATTTCCCATTGAAAATGGAAACTTTGTACATACTTAACATCAAAGAATATTAAAAATAAATGTGAAGTTACTAAAAAAAAATCAGTCTGGTGGATTTTTAATCACTGAAATATAGTTGTCAAATCAATTAGGTACATTTTTAGAGGAAGTCAGATTTGCAAAGAGAAGCCACAAATTATAAAATACCTTTTGGAACTCTGCCATCTATAAGGGAGTTAAGTTTTGTTATTTCATTAAAAGCAGATTGTAATTCTTTGTCCAGGTCAACTTGCATCTTCTTTTTTGCTTCCAATTGGCTTTGATATAACTGAATGTCATTTTCCATTTGCTTGCAAGTGCTTTCAAGTTCTTTCTATTGAGGAAAAACATTGAAAATGCATAAAAATGTACTGACCATTAGAACTGTTTTTTTACATTTCTACATTTTTCACAAATTATTTACCATTTTCTCTTTCAGCTCCAGATTTTCACTTCTAAGAAAGGCTGATTCTTTTTTGGCATCAAGAGCTACAGTTTCAGCATCAAACAGAGTTTGTTGCATTTGTTTTAGATCTTCAGTGTTTTCCTAGACAAATTATAACAAGGATTCAGTGAGATCTAATTTTGATAATGAAAATACTTTAAGTACGATAATTTAACAAATTGGGTACTGTTTAATAAAAGGTTTAACAAACTATTAAATTAGTTACTTAAATTCTAATGAGAATACATGGATAGCTATTTGAAATAAAATTTATGAAGTCATGCTCAACTACTTATGATACATATTTTAGTTACTTATCAATTCCAACTTAAGTGCTTATTTTATGATCATGACTATATACTTCTTCAGAATTTCTATTAAACAACTGAAAAAATTCAAAATTTTTTAATCATTGACTTTTCATGGAAGACTGTCCCTAATTTACATTCATTGAAAGATTGATATGCTGGACTTTGTATGAATGCTTCTTTATCTGTAAAATGTCCATTTCTCAAAGTTATAGAGAGATTAAGTTGATTAAAACCATGCCCAGTAGCTAGCCCAGTATGAGCATTTACTGTGGAGATGATGATGGTATGCTAGAAATGTCTAGATATTCACACAACAAAATAAACCTTATTTTTACCAATGAGTATGACAAATCCATTTTTATATTTTCTGACTTTTGAGTGTCTATGTATTTCTGTAGATTCTTAATCTGGTGTTCTTTTTCTTCAAGCAGCTTTACTTTTGAATTTAGTTCATTCTAAAAGAATCAAATAAGTGAAACAGAAGTTAACAATTTGATTTTGAAAGTATTAAAAAGAACTTATATAATTTCAATCAACAAAAAATTCAGTTATTAATATTTAAAAATACAATTCCTCTACTTAAATATAATTCCTCTATTTTCTGTAATAATGTTCAATTTACATGATATATATTTTATAGTTCTAGTTATTTATTAATAGAAATACCCACATGAATGCTCACCTCAAGATCTTGATTATATACTTCTGCATGTTTAACTAAATTCTTTAAGTTGGAAATTTCATGAATTAGTTGCATCTGTAAGAGTATGTGAACAGGCAACAGAGCAAACCAATAGTTAATAAAGCCAAAAAAAAAAAAAAGATAGCGTTGATTCACTGCTTCAGAATTCACATCACCCAACACAGTTAGAAGAGATTGAGAGATCAATTATTTAAGCTACTTGCAAGAGCACCTCATTATTTAAAAATATAAGAATACCACCCAAATAAAACAAGAAAAAAAAATCTCAGCATGACCTCAATAATAATTATGTTTTCTGTTAATAAAGCTAAAATAATGTCATTAGCAAATTAGTAAGCAGTAAAGTGGTAATCAAAATTTTACTAAATACACTTTTAATTAATTTTTGCTTTGTATAAGACATGCATGCAAATCTATTCATCCTATTTTTTTTTTCTTACCATAAATTATCCTTATGGTTCTACACTGACATACTTTTCAATGAGTTGTGATTTGGAATTAGGTTTAGATTAGGGTCATTTCATGTAATGACTTTACAATATTATTACTGTTCAAGATCTATAGAAGTTTGGGATTATGAAGTACATCATTTTGTTTTGTTTTATAGGAAATAGTGAAAAGAAGATGCTATTGCTTTATATTGATCATATAAAGTATGAAAGTATTTTTTATCAAATTTTCCTTTGTATCAAAATATCTGTAGCAGAAAATATTTGAGTACCAGAAAGTTTTGTATACAAATCAAGCAAATGGCAAGTGACTGAAGAAACATTTTCTCTTGAAATTACTTAATCTTTATAATTGAATAAGCTCTTAAATAATACAATAAAATTCTGATGGAATTTAAGAAAATGCATCTTGTTTAAGTGATATTTTCTGGATGCTTAATTCAGTCTTGACTAGTTTTAGGTTTTGGAATGTAGCAGAGTAGACATTTCTTAGGTCAGTGAAACAACGTGAGCTAACAGAAACATAATGGAGCTACACATGTAATTTAAAACTTTTTAGTAGGTACATTAAAAAAAAAACACAAAAAGAAACAGGTAGAATTAACGTTAATATTTCACTTAACATGTCAAAAATTATTTCTCCATGTAATGAATATAAAAATATTATTTTACCTTCTATTTGTTATTCTTAAATTAATTCAGACTGACCCAATTTTTATTAATTAATTAATTTATTTATTTACTTTTTAGTTACAGTTGGACACAATATCTTTATTTTTATGTAGTACTGAGGATCGAACTCAGTGTCTCACACATGGTACGTGAGCGCTCCACCTGAGACACAACCCAGCCCCAGACTGGCCCAATTTTAAATGCTCGATTGTCACATATGGTTAATAGCTATCCTACTGTACAACACAGCCTTAGAAATTTGTATTGGTTTTGCTTTAAACAATAGCTCCATCTTTTATCTTTTCTTCCCTGCCTATTTCTAACTTTTATTTGGTTCTTTCTCACATTTACCAATAAGGGAGAAGCAAATAATCAATCTTTAGAAATCATTTAGGAAATAACCATTTAGAAAAAAAAAATTCCTACTTCTCATCTTAAACTACAATTCAGCTTATGTTTTGCTTCTCATAAGTAAAAAGATTAATTTTGTAAAGATAAAAGTGTAATCTCCAAATGACATATTAAGATGCAGAGCATAAAGAGAAAGTGTGTAAAGAGCAAACATGTTCAAAACACAGGACACGATCAACAGTTAATCCATTGTGATATAAGAAAACATTGAAAATTTTACCTGTAATTGAACAGGTAAAATATTAAACCTCTGAAAAATTTCTGAGTTGTAAAAATTATTAAATTAAATAAATCAAGTTAAAATAGGTAGATGGACACATTTTCTCTTGTCCCATGAGAGTGATGATATTTGACTTTTAAAATTCATCTCTCTAATGTTTAATATGTAAGCAACCATAATCACTACATTCCCACCTGAAAATTATCCATGACTTTGATGATTTTTTGACAAAATCCTTAAGAAAATCAGAGAAATGATCACCTGTTCTGAGCCATAATTTGACTTTGTTCAAAATTTTATTCAAAATATACATTTTAGTCTTCAAAATTGGAGCTCTAGACACCATCCTCTTAACTATTCCCCTATATCATCCCCTGTAATAAACCCATCTCACTGACTGAAGTCCACTTTTTTTTCATGACATTTTACACTTTGTTAATATGTATATTTTAAAGCAAACTGAATGAAACCCTGTGAAAAACTTTAATATAGACTTTATTTATTTATTAGGTATTTAACCTACAAAATGTAGGAACAACTTTAATTTCTTGATAAAATGAAAATGATAGCTTTGGCACAGAATTCATTTTTTCTTTACAAAGCAAGAGGGTAAAAACTAAATGATGATATTAAAGATGATGTTCCTTCAGATTACCCATAGAGAAATCTGATAAGCAGCTGCATCCTAATTCACATTACAAGAATTTCAAAGTACTGGCTCTTACTTTTGGGAGGCTCACAGGTTGCTTTGCAAGTCTGATAACAGATAGGTATTTTTGTTTCAGAAAAATGATGGACTCAAAAATTCTGTTTGTACACTCTAGTTTAAAGACAATCTGCATTAAGAGTCCCTGAAATCTTAGTGATAGGTTGTAGACGTGAGTGGTGGGAACGTGAAAAATGAGGGGCTAATTCTATAGTCTGAGCCTATGTGGTAATGTGATAACAGTCCCCCTCCCCTATCTCTATGTTTTTTTGTTTTTGCTTTTTGTGGTGGTGCTGGGGTTTGAACCCAGGGTCTTACACATGCTAGGCAAACATTCTACCATTGAGCCACATTCCCAGCACTCAATATGTTTTTTTTTTTTTTTTTTAGAGAGAGAGAGAATTTTAATATTTATTTTTTAGTTTTCAGCGGACACAATTGTATGTGGTGCCAAGGATCGAACCCCAGCCACACCCACGCCAGGCGAGCGCGCTACTGCTTGAGTCACATCCCCAGCCCCACTCAATATGTTTTAGAGAAGCAACTTATACAAAGTCATCCTGGCCCTGATCGGATGTAAGATAATAGCCCCCAAACAAATAGCATATTATTCTCAGTGCTGAGAAATATATTTCTGAGATTGATCCTTTGATAAAAGACAGATTCCTCGCCTGGAGGCTGGTGAGCTCAATAGTCTCAAGGTCTGTAAAATCAAGTTCCAGATAAAATTGTCTGGTGTGGGCCAAGATGACTAAAAGTTGCCTTTAGGTCCTTGGCACACTATTTAATCTCACTGGAATTATAAATTTTCACTCCTGTGGGTTTCATTTATATATTCAGAAGTAAGATATATGCAATAGAGATCTAGAAACATGATATAATCCAACTGTCAATCAAGAGCTAGGAGTGGGGCTTGGGCGGGATTCTCCATAAACTGTCCCTTAACCCCAATAAAACTGGGACACAAGGAAGAGAGTTCTTTCATTTCTGAGAGGACACACTCTCTCCCCAGAGGGTGTTTCCCCCCATTTCGTCCTTCTGTTACAAACAACTCTGCTATACTTTTACTACACCTCATGTCTTACTTGAAATTTTCTCTTGTGAAGACACAAGAACTGATAATAAGACCTTTGGTAGCATTAGAACAATTTTTAAGTGCCTTGAATCTGATGATTTCTGGACTAGGTTCTCTTTACACATAGCATAATATCATATGCTTAGAAAATTTAAGTGCCTGTTTTGTTTCCAAAAATTCCATTAATCAGCTTCTTCAACTAATGGAACTAATGGAACATTCTAATAATGGTCCAACTATTTAGGAATATACATTTTAAAGAAAAATTCATTAGTACTTAGTATGTATATATAAGACAGTCAAATAGATCTTAATATTCCTATTGGTCTCAGGAAATAGCTATGCTATCTCCTATAGATAAAACTTATAGCACACTAATATATATATATGTGTGTGTGTGAGTGTGTGTGTGTGTGTGTGTAATATAGCAACTATAAGAACACTATTTCCTCAAGACAAATCCATCAATAGATAGATCCATGAAAGGTTCCCTCTGATGTTTTTAAAATCTCATTCTATTATTTAAAAATAATTATATGATATTTATTTCCATAAGAGACAGATTCCCCTGCCTGGAATAATATGGATGGAACTAAATATAATATAATTATTTTTATAACATTGTAAATTAAATATTTCTTTTTCTTTTTCTTTTTGTGGTGCTGGGGATTTAACCCAGGGCCTTGTGCATGCAAGGCAAGCACTCTACCAACTGAACTATATCCCCAGCCCCTAAACATTTCTTAAATTCTCTAAATTGTGTGTGTGTGTGTGTGTAAAACAGCTGATCCATAATATCTCAGTATTAGAAAGAAATATCCTTAAGGAAATGATAGTTCTTTTAAAGTTTCATATTTCTCTATCTTACCTCTTGATCTTTCTCAGCTTTTCTTTCTAGAGCCTCAAATTCATCCAAATCATTTTTCTCTTTTAATTTCAATCCCAGTTCTTCATTTTCTCTTCTCAGTTGTTCACAGTCTAATACCAAATTATCATACTTAGCACGGAGTGTGTTCAATTCACTTTCTAAGTTTTCCTAATATAAACAAACAAACAAACAATTCTACTCAGATGGAGTTCAGATTACATATTCTTTACTTCCTCAATTAAAATTTGGATTAGCTGAATATAATTTGACTTTGAGTCATTTGATGGTTTAGGCCATTCTCTTCTTCATGTCTTTATGATGGCCTATATTTTAGTAAACTATCTAATTCAGAGTAACTTACTCTATTTAAAAAGGAATAAACAAAAATCATGTAAATAAATCATAAGTCTGCCTATACCTGATAAGGAAAGGCCAACTGCGAAGGCAGAGTAATTGTTAGGAAACCCATTTCACCACAATAAAGCTCATTATTTAACTACTAATTGGTCTGACTTCTATTTCTCAGATGACTCTGAATTCAGGAACCAGAAATAGAGATCTTACTAATGACTTCTAAATCTCTAATGGTGGCTATGTTTTACCATACTTAAAGAAGCATATTTTTCCTTTCCATACTATTATGAGAAAGAGATAAAAGTATCAACAAAAAACTAAGGCATTTTTTTTTCCTTTCCTTTAAAAACTAACTCCTAGGTTAAGTCTTAAGGACACAAAGGCACTTTGCCTATAATACTTTATAGACATAAACTAATGATAACAATAATTATTGGCACCATAATTGTATTCCAAAATTAAAATGAAATTTTAATAAATACATTATACAACTATATGTCTTTGAACATGGACAATCTAGAAAGTAGCTTGGAATTTAAACTTATTGACTTATTCACTACAGTATTCTTTACTGCTTAGTTTTAATAAAACTATACAGGATTGGCCTTCTGTAACTATGAATTCCTCATTCAAAGATTCAATTAGCCTCAGACTGAAAATGTAGTTAGGCCTACAATGGTTGTCTCAATACTTAAAATGTAGACTTCTTTCCTTATCATTATTCCCTAAATACAGCATAACAACTGCTTACACAGCGTTTATATTGTATTAGGTATTACAAGTAATATAGAGATGATTTTAAAGTATATGGGAAGATAGGCATAGGTTATATGAAATTATTAAGGCCTTTTCCTCTAACAGATTTCAGCATCTATGGGCTTTGGTATCAGTGGAGGTACTGGAACCATCCAATGGATAAGGAGGAAAAACTTGTACTTTTATTTTTCTGTATTATCTAGCAAAACTATCCCACACTGTTGTATTGTTTTATTGAATGCCTGAGAATTTTGACACTTCAAATTTTTAAAAAAAGTTATTCTTTTTATTTATTCATATCAGTATATTTTGACATATTTAGACAAACATGAAATATGTCTTATTCTAATTAAGATCCCAGTCTTGTGGTTGTACATGATGTGGAGATTCCCTGTGTCGTATTTGTATATGTTCTTAGGAAAGTTATGTCTGATTCATTCCACTGTCTTTCCTATTCCTGTCCGCCCCCCCCCTCCTTCATTTCCCTTTGCCTAAGCCAGTGAACTTCTAGTTAGTCTTACCCCCATGCAGTTTTCCAAATCAAAACAGAAATTCTAAAAACGTCATAGATACTAAGATTTGCTGGTAAAGAGCTAGAAGCAATGTCTACCTCTGAGCACGTACCAGCTTTATAAAATTTTTAGACTTCCCCTAGATGTCTCATCATTATCAACCAAAATATAAAAATGAGGGAAATCTTTGTTAGAGCCTAAACTAACTCTGGTATTAAGTCAGAACTGATAATGTGCTACAACAACAAAGTCCAATAACAAACAAATTTAAAAAGAGTAAAAAGATCATATTCTGTAAAATACATTAGGTTACCTGGCTTAGTAGCTTTGTTGCTGAATTCCATTCTATCTCAGTTAATGAATCAAGAGTATTACTGAAGACATCAGACTCTAAATAGAGAGCTAAAATTTGGGGAAGAGGAAAAATTTTTCTATGAACTTATACATAACATTCCCTAATAGTCAAATTAAAGATTACAAACAACAACAACAAAAACACTGACCAAAGGTAATAAGCTCATATTAGCTAATATGTCCTTAGAGTATGAATGCCAAGATAACATTAAAAACAGATGTGATATTTATATTGTTTTGTGAATTAAAATAGCTTGTTAGAATTGGTGCCAAAATGTAGGATCCTTAATACAATACAGGTAAAAAAGACAGATTCTAAATATGAGATCTGATCACTGTAAGTAGATTTATAAATGCCCCTAAAAAATAGATTGTATTACTGGAGATATAATTTTGAAAGATTCCTAAGTAAGTGCTGCCCTTCGAAAATTGGCAAGTTTAAGGCAGATGTTATGAATAATGTACAAATTTAATTGAGCAATTAGAAGAAAAAAACAAAACAACCTGACTCATGATTCAACTACAGTGCATTATTCTTAAGAATTTTAGAAGAGTTTCATGAATGTTTACTTTTTCAAAATCACAAATTCTTATAATAATTTCCATTGCAATCATATCTAAAATACATACATTTTTACTTCAATGTGTTTATCACACAGAGTTATAAATGTAGTTCTATTTAAACAGGCACTCACATTCATCAATTTCTCCTAACACAGCGCCATCAGTCTTGTGTCTTCTTGTTGTTACATTTGCTGGCATATTAAATTCATTTACATAGTTTGAGTCCTTCATTTTGTTAATTTTGCCAAAGCACCAAGTAACTCTTCGTTTTTTTTTAGCCTAAAGAAAAAAAAAATCAAAATTACTTTATACAGATCTATGTTCAGACATCATAAAACAAGGGAACTAGCTCTTATTTTTAAAAATTATTGATTTGGTAGAATTTTTAGTTTAATATTTAAATATTTAGAATTATTAGTTTAATATTTTATTTAGAATTATTTTATTTAGAATTATTAGTTTAATATTTTATTTGTCTGAGGACATTCTAAGATAAGAAAATATACTCAAAATTTTCAAATCAGTGTTTCAATCCATTACAAAATGAATAAAACTGCTGCTGACTTCTACATTCTTTTTCTTTGGGATCACACTCCTTGTTATTTGGGCATTTGTCATTTCCACTGGCTTTCTCCTCTCAACTTCACAAATGCTCAAGCCTGTTTGCTTTTACTTTTTTTTTTAAAAAAAAACCTCTTGACTGGTTACTTACCTCAAGCTAACCTTTTGTCTTTGCTCTTACTTTGTCCTCTTTCTCTATCCTTCAGGGACCTCCATCTCCGGTTTCTTATGCTACCCACCCTGTAGTCCTTACCACTGTTTTCTGCATTCTCTTCCTTTGCCTGCCTCTTTTTATAGTTAAACATAGTAGTTGTTTTCATCCTGACAAACTCATACATTCATGGAACTCAATTTCATGTTATGACTCTCCCCTTTTCTCCCCCAGATCCTCCCTCCCCTCTCCTATTCTCTTTCCCCTACTAGATTTCCTTTTGCTCATGTATTTATTTGTATTTGATTGGTTATTTCTACCTATGCATAAAGGTGAAGTTCCCTGTTGTATATTTATATATGCACATAATATGATTTTTAAAGAATTCATTCTGCACTGCCTTTCCTTACCCATCCTTCCACTCTGTCTCCTGATCTCCTTTTTTATTACTGATCTTCCCTTTATCTTTGTTATCCTATGTTTCCCTCCACCCTTTCCTTTATTTTACTCTAGCTTTTGCATGTAAGAGAAAACATTTAACCTTAGAGTTTCTGAGTTTGATTTACTTCACTTAGCATGATATTCTCCATTTCTATCCATTTACTGGCAAATGCCATAATTTCATTCTTTTTTATGGCTAAGTAGAACTCCACTGTGAGTATATACACGTGTGTGTGTTTGCATATATTTCTTAATCCATTCATTTATTGATGGGCATCTGGGTTGATTCTACAATTTGGCTACTGTGAATTGTGCTGCTAAAAACATCGAGGTGGCTGTGCTGCTGTAGTGTGCTGATTTTATATCTTTTGCTCTGCCTGCCTCGTAAGTGTATATTTTCCAGGTTTCACAGCCAACATTCTTTCCTGCCCCTTCCTGGGTATAAGTACCATCTCATCACATTCAATTCTCTCAATGATCCTATGAGTGGATCTTTTACTGCATCCTTTTTATAGTCACCCCCAAATTTGGGGAAGTTGTAACGCTGTACAATCAATTGGTAGCTGAGCCCATATCTGTAACTTTAGAGCCTATCTAGGGAACCACTGCACTATGTAGCCTCTGAAGAGTAGCTCTCTTCCCCAGGATACACTGGTTACTTCTATGTCTCACTGTATACTACCCTTCTACTTAAAATGGGTAACTTTTTCCATAGCCCACATTGCAAAAGCCAAGTAATATATAAAGCCTCATTTCCAATGACCCTCAGCTTAATTCCATTGGCTCCCTAAGCCACACTTGAATCTTGTCATTATCTGAACTCATAAGCCTAGATCTGCCACTCTCGCCATAGTTGCTATCCTTCTACCTCATTTATTCAATCCCATTTTGACTGGTTAGCTTAATAGGGACTTTTTCCTTGTCCTTGTTATATCACTGTCTTCCTGACAGCTCCCTCTTTGATTCTCATATCATCATCTTTGAGTCCATAGGGTCATCACTTCAATTATGTTTGACATTGGAGATTAATATCCTCAAAAATCTCTGTCCTTCACATCTATTCCACACAACGTACGTTCAGATGAATTATTCTGCCTTCTGAGCCTGTATTAGCCTCTTTAGCACCGCTGAGTCACACAGACAGACATGAATCAGATCCTTTATGCTGCCTGGAGGGCTTTTCTCTCCCTTGTCAGGTTTCTTTTTCATTCTCAATAAGGGCCAGATTATTTTGAATGCTTGGTATATCTGTAAACTTGTGACTATCTACAACTGCCATCACACCAGAAAAACTGAACCTGTTTCACAAAGAAAATATAAAACTAAACTTACAAAAGTACAACTTGCACTGATATCTATCCTTTTCCTTGTGTTTGTTGAAATCTAATAAATTGGTCTCCTATCCAGGGCTAGCACCTTCTATTATATTCAAGAGTCCATCCCTTTCGTCTATCTCAACTCACTGTTAGGCAGCTTTCATCCTCACCATATAACTCAATTTGTTTTTGAAAATGTGCTCCTTGTTCCTCAATGCAAATAGTTTTTGTCTATTTTAACCTTACTTAACTTCTTGGCAAAACATGACACCACTGATCACAACTTCCCTGAAATATTCTCTTTCCAGCTACTGTATTCATCCTTCTTCACCCTAGAGCTGAACCTGGGCCCCTTTATGGAGCCTTCTTTTTCTACCTTTACCTAAAATGTTTCTTGGGGTTTTTTTCCTTGTCATTCTAAGCTTTTCATTCTCAACTTGCTCAAAGAACCAACTCATCTCTTCCCATAATTTTAATTTAAATCTGTAGTAGCATGTGCCCAAACTGATTACATTGCCCATCTTCCACACTGTTTCCATATATTTGCATTTTCACCTGCCTGACATCTCAAAAGATATTCTAAGCACTTCTACTATTTTTTATTGTTGCTTAACAAATTCGGCTACTAGCTTCCCAGGAGGCTAAGCAAGACTTTCACATCACTCTGGATACCTCTTTCTCTGTTTCTCTGCTCCTGACATCCAATCAATCACTAAGTTTACCCCATAAACAGCTCTCCAATTTGCTCCCTCTCCAGAGCCACATTTCTTATAGAGGCCCAACTATTCTGATATGCATAGCAGTCATGCTTTTTCTGCAATTCTGACATCACACACAGTCTCTTATTATCTCCTTAACATAACGTCACATTCAAATATCACATGATGGTTTAACATGGACTGACCACTAGAACATTTTAAGTCCAAAGAATGCATCATGTATTTTCATAGCTCCAGGCTTTTGCATATATGGGTCTCTTCCCTGTGCCATTGGGCCACTTTTTATTCACACTCAGTCAACCAATAGTTCTTGAATGTCCCCTCTATATTTAGTATGGTGACTTGTACATAGTGCCTATTAACAATAATTTATTAATAGCTTATATTTACTAAATTTGCTGTGTAGAAAGGATTGCATTAAGCACATTCTATGTATTATTTTACTTAATTCTCACAACACCCCATGAGGTATGTATCAAGCTATTTCACAACTAAAGAAATTACAGTGAAGGGGATTCAAGAAATTGCCCAATGTCAAGAGTCAGGAATTGATGGATCTGGGATTCAAATTCAGCCAGTCCAGATTCAGGGTTCTTCCTTCTGTTCACAATATTATACCCTAAAATGTCAACAAAAAACACAAACAAGCTAGAATCTTGATCACCACATTGGTTTATATTCTAGATCAATGTTTCTAAGGTTAATAATTCTATTTCTTTAAACAAAAACATCCCCCTAGTGACCAGTAGTTCCTAATCATCTGCATATTACAAAATAGATTCTTTAACTATATATTAGACTTCTTGAATAAGAAGCGCTATATGTGGAAATTAGGGATAGGGTATTTTTAATGAACTTCTTAGGCAGTGTTGATGTATAAGCAAACACATAAAATATCTGGGTTTCTTGAATATATTGTATAAAAGAATAAGAAGTGCCTAACTGTATCATAAATATATAAAAGTGCCTATTTTCTACCATATTTAAGCTGTTATCTTTTATTTTTTTACCTTTAATTCCTGTTGCATTGTAAGAGAAGAAGAAGTCACCAGCATTCGTGTTAAGTTTTGAATTTTTTCATCCTGTACTTTTTGAAGTAAATCTTTTTCATCCAAAAGTTGGGCCAATTGGTCTTTTTCCATTTCCTGGGCCCGAGTCTTTATACTGACCTACAGAATGTAATAATGGATTATGTTAATAATAGATGTAGCTAGATTTTAAAAATTTGAAAGTAGCTTAAAAAAAGAATATGAAATATGCATATGATCTCAGAGAATTTAATTGTATTGAAATAAAATATACCCTAAGTGCAGAACTCTAATGTTCAGTTACTATAATCAATAATTTCTCAAACTTGTAATATAGCAAATTACACATTTCTTCTCAGGTCTCTATTCTATATACTCTGTAAAAGATAAGAATACTGTTAAAACAGTTCTATTAATTGCTACGAATATCTAAATAACAGGCAGAAAAGTCAAAGAAGCTGAAATCTGTATACCAATAGCAAACACAGACATTTTCTCTTTCATCTTATAAGACTATTGTTTGATATCTTAGGCAATTTTTTCAGAGATCACTAAAATTAAAGACTTACAAATTATGAGACCAAGATTAAAATAAACCAGTTACAATGATAGCTTGATTATACTATATTATTAGGCTACTACTTAAGGGTTAGAAGAGGAATTCAGCAGAATGTGAAAATACAGAAGGTAGTTTTAAGTAACTATACATGGTCTTTCTTGTCAACCTGAATTAATACGTACTTGTAAAACATTTTAAGAAAGTATTTCTACTTGGCTTATTTGAAAAAAAGTCTTAAGTCTTGAACTTTGGAAATGAAAAACAAAATTCAAAATAATTTCAAGAAACCAAATCTTTCAATTTATAGTAAACAAAGTTAAATTTTTATGAGTTGATTTCTTCTTAGTTAAAAACTATTTACTTTAAAATTAAGCTGTAGCAGCTCAGATATTCATGAATTTAGAATTTTGGGGGGCAGATCTCCATTATTCTAAATTGGTCCCTATTTACTGAAATAAATGATTTATACATACCTCCTCTAACTGTTTTTTAAGAGCCACTATTTCCTTTCTATATCTCTTTAGGAGAGCTTCATCACTTGATACCTCATTAACATAAGGAGTATTCTTCATGTATTTAGCAGTGCTGGCAAACTGGCAAAAAATGAAGTAAAATATTAATACTAAAAGAAGTCATAACAACATTTAGGTTTCCTATAATCAAGTTTCTTGGAAGACAAACCAAAACAAAGTTTTCCCAGTTGGCTTAATATTTTTGAATACAGGGAGCATTCTATATTGTTCTTTTAACCATGCTCTGTGACTTACTCTGGCCAATAGTTTCAGAAGAGTTAGAAAAACATCTTGAAGACAGATGCAATAGAGAACCTACAAAACCATCCACCCCTCCCAAATGCTTCCTATACTTTGAAGCTCCTCTTCGAGCCAAAACTATCTCCCCTTTCTTTAAACTCTATTAGCCACTTAAATACTAATCCAAGGCAATCATGTCAGAAGACAAATCTTAATCTGCTCTGTAAATTCTGTAAAGTCAGGAATGTTTTCTCTTTGTTCTACTGGCAGGACCTTAATCCAGTGCTCAATAACTATTTAAAGCAATGGCTTGAGTATGAGTACTAGAAGTAACTTTAAGTGGGAACATGAAGGTGACCAGTAAATAATACTGAATTCTTCATTGAGAAAGCTATTCCATTGATGTTTTTCATTTTCCTTTCCTTCATTTTTAACAGAAAATGTTGGCCTTTAGCACAAAACCAAGGTGGGCAACAGACAGAATTCAAGACTTATTGTCCTATACACACATACACATATACATACGCAAATACATACATATACGTGTGTGTGTGTGTGTGTGTGTGTGTGTATACATATATATACGTGTGTGTGTGTGTGTGTGTGTGTATATATATATATATATATATAGTTTTGGTTACTTTCTACTTGTGGTGAGTAATCTTAGTTTTTCATTCATAGGATTGATAAAATTTGCTTTTATCACAAATTAAGTACAAAAAGTAAGTTATTTGAAGAAAATATCAAGTCAATATCAGTCAAAATAACATTGGATATGGCTAAAATTATGGAAGTGGAATACAAAAGATTGAAGTCTTGAAAGTTAAATTAAGGAATGGTATTTAGAGGATAACACATTAATATTATCGTAACAAGTGTGTTATGTCAATTTTAAAAAGTATACCAAATTTTAGTAGGTAATTTTTTCTTCTTAAAGTTGACCTTTCCCCATATTAAGATAAAAAAATCAAACTCACCTGAAGAGTAGTAAGAGTTTCATCAAAAGATACTGGAGTAATTGTGCAGATAATACGTGTTTTTGCATTTCCTCCCAAAGAATTCTGAAGAATTCGTGTTAATTTGCTATCTCGATAATTTATGAAACCACTTAACAAGAAATGAGTTTGGGAAGAAAAAGATTGAGAAATTTTTTATTATAAAAGTGGTTGTCTTTTAATACAGAACATTTAGTTTTAAAAATTAATTCTTTATTAAAATCAGTATACTACAGAAATGCAGCAACACAGCCGTATCAATGTTTGTAGCAGCTCAATTCACAAAAGCTAAACTGTGGAACCAACCTAGATGCCCTTCAATAGATGAATGAATAAAGAAACTGTGGTATATATACATACAATGGAATATTACTCAGCATTAAAAGAGAATAAAATTATGGCATTTGCAGGTAAATAAATGGAGCTGGAGAATATCATGCTAAGCAAAGTGAGTCAATCCCCCAAAACCAAAGGCAGATGTTCTCTCTGATAAGTGGATACTGATCTATAATGGGGGAGGGGGCATGGGCAAAACAGAGGAACTTTAATTGGACAAAGGGAAGGGAGGGGAGAGAAGGGGCATGGGGGGCAGGAAAGATAGTGAAATGAGATGGACATTATTACCCTAGGTACATGTAATGACTCCACATATGGTGTGACACTAGCTACATCATGTACAACCAGAGAAATGAAAAGCTGTGCTGCAGTTGTATAAAAAATACTTACAATAGCCTGAGTAAGTGTGGGTGTGTAATGGGATAAACTTACCCAATTTGTCCATCACTAAGTTTCTTGATTACTTGTCCCAAAATAAATAAGCTTCGATTTATATTACAGCCTTCCTTGAGTCGTACACCTAAATTTATGATTAAAAAAAAAAAAATCAAAACTTCCCCCCCATACTAGGTAACTAAGTTATTTATTAGTAAATGACAAGAGAAATTAGACATCAAAGAATCAGATGCTAAGATGTGTGTTTTGGTTTGGACCTGAGCCCACCGTATTATAATTTTGGTAGGCATTCTCTTCCTATTCCTTCCACCAATTAAGTGATTCAGAATAGGTATCAACAGTAGGAAAAACATTACTAAAAATCAGAGGGACTACTTTGGGAGGATGAGGCAGGAGGTCACAAATTCCATACACACTTTAAAATAACCATACTAGTTTAAACAACACAAAAATGTATTCTTGATGTTTTTATTAGGATTGTGTTAAATCCAGAAATTAACAGAGAAATTTGGCATCTTTGTGATTTCAAATCTTCTCATCTAAGTATGCTTTTTCATTTTCACAAAGTTCTCCATAATTCAGGTCTGATTTAAAGATTTCTTTACATTGATTTTGTGCAATCTGTTGAGTTTCCTAGTTGAGATATCAAGTTTTCCTATGTAAAAGAGGTACCACATCTTTTACATTATTAATGTAAATAACCTTTGTCCACATAAAATTCTACTTGGTTTTGTTTGTAAGAGTTATTAATTTCTATATATTAAATTTGTACCACACTACCTTTCTTTGGATTTTCATTTGTTTTATTACACATATAAGGAGAACTGGAAAAAATAGCCAGTTTTGCCATGAGAGACTAGATCCTATAGAGTTAAAATTTAGCTGTAATGTTAAGCTTCTCCCAGGATAGATACATAGGGATGATATGCAGTATCATTTTTCACATAGTAGAAAAGCATCCTTTTCTTTTCAATGCTAACTATGGTCACGTCTCATTTTCTAATGGAGATTAGTATACATAAATTTTGAAAGGGCAAAGGTGCAATGAAAGAATCTGTATATACTTACCATGTATCCTAGAATCAGAATGTTAGTACTGGAAAGATACTTCCTACTACCTTCCTTTTTTTCTTTTCTGTACTAGAGATTGAACCCAGGAGTCCTTTCTGCCAAGCTAAGCCCCCAGTCCTTTTTTTTTTTTTTGAGACAGAGTCTTGCTAAGTTTAGAGCCTTGCTAAGTTGCTGAGGTTGGCTTTGAACTTTTTTAAAAAATTTTATTAGTTGTTCAAAACATTACATAGTTCTTGACATATCATATTTCATACATTTGATTCAAGTGGGTTATGAACTCCCATTTTTACCCCGTATACAGATTGCAGAATCACATCGGTTACACATCCACTTTTTTTAAGCCTCCTGCTTCAGTCTCCTGGGCTACTGGGATTATGGGCATGTGCCATTAGGCTCAGCTATCTTTCTTAATATCCTTACTAACTGTAGAAATTCAAATAGTTTTCGTGGAATTCTCATGGGCTTCCCAGATATACTAACCTATCAATTACATAACTTTAGCTTTTTAATAGATGCTACAATAGTTCAAAGAAAATAGTTATATATAGATGCCGATTTTTGTATTAAGGATTTTTAGTAGAAAATTACTATTATCAGTTTTAAAAAATGCTTAGAAGCATTTTTATCCCATAAAAGAATAAGAAGGCACTAAGACTAATTTACTTTACTAGTTCTCATTACCTTCAGCTCCTGTTTGAGCAGCTCTTTCACTGCCTGCAAGATCCACCAAATTCTGTAGGACAAATGAAAATAAACCTTCAGGAGGGATAATTAGAAATAATAAAGTCCAAACTATTGAAAGAACATTTTTAATACATGGCATATCTGAATGTCCCATCTAAATTCTTGTGTTTCTTCTTGAGATAATATATCATCTTGATATATAAAGTAGTCTCTATGTGTCGTTTTTCTTTCTTTATGACATATACTCTGTCATGCTGCAGATCACAGTAGGTTGTTTCCTATATAGTCCAAAACTTTACCAAGGTGAACATGATTCTTTGCAACCCAGCACTTGTGGCAGCAGTAGGTTCTAACATTCTAATCTGCCCTTATTACTCTTTATTCAAGAACCAGGACAAATGTTACCTTCTTAATGTAGCTGTGCCAACTTTACTCTTCCTACCCCACACTTTGAATTTTTTTTGAAACGCTACTTCCACTATGTACCCAGAACACTTTATTAGATATGACTTACTCTTATAGTTGAGTAACTCCTGTAGAGCTAGTCATTTGAGTCCTTGACTACCCTGTAGCATCTTCAAAAGCATGGACCTCTTTCATTTTGCAAATAATAGTGGGGGAAAAAAAGTAACTATCTATCATGTTCTAGGCAGTGCATTAGTTGCTGGGGAAATAGCAGAGAACCAGACAAATGAGGTCTCTGCTCTCACAAAGCTTGTAGTCTACAGAAGAGGAGGTTGCTAAGAAGAGAGAAAAAGACATATAAGAAATATATTGTGATAAATGTAGTGGATAATTCAAATAGAGCTGGAAGAGAGCAGAGGGAGGAACAGAACACATCTTCTGGATGGAGTGGTAGGGGAAGGCCAGTCATCAGACTAAGAAAGGCAGTTATGAAAAGATCATGGGAAATGATAGTCTAGACAGAAGGTAAGCCAGCATACCAGGTCACAAACCAGAGTGCCCTTGGTGTGTTAAAAAATGTAGAAAGTGCAGAGTGGTGTAGTTGGTGAACTTAAGCAGGAAAAAGACAGGGTAAGAGAAGGAATGATCACATTATGCAGGGCTTTTTAAGCAAGACTAAGAATTCCAGGTTTCCTAAATGCAATGGGAAGCCACTGGAGGGTTTTATATGGGGGAGTACTAATACAATCAGATTCAACTTTCTGAAGCATCAACTGTGCCCTTGAGTGGAGAATGGATTAGAGAGGGACAGGAGCGGTAGCAGGCAGCCAAGGTAGGAGACTAGTGCAGAATCCAGGTGAGATGATAGCAGCTTGGTCTGGAGAGGCAGCAGTAGAAATTATCTGTATATTAAGTAACAGAGGAATGTATCCTTTATTCTTTTAATCTCAGAACCCAGCACTGTGCCCAGAGCATAAGAAACTCTCTCTATATATTCAGAATACATTAAAAGAAAGAGCTTTAAGTTATTTCTCTGTGAAGATTTTCATGGTGTAGGCAAGTAATTATAGTTCTGTAGTTCTATCTCAGATACTTTCTTCTCTAAAATAATCAGAAGTCTAATGTCCTTACATAGTGTCCACTACAGATGATCCAGATTCATAATCAAAGGCAAAGTGGTTAAGGAGTGAAGCAGCATGAGTGAAGTCATGACAGTGGGAACAAGTACTCCTAACCAAAGACACCTATCCAAAGCTTCCAAGAGGCCCCATCTAGGAGAGGAACTCATGTGGAGCAGAGGAAGTACATTTCTTGTCCAAGAAGTGACATAACAAAAGCAGTGCTTAGATAAATTTCAAATTTGTATAACAGACTGAAGAAAGGAAGACCAGAGTCATGAGGGCCAGGTTTCAGGAGATCAATGTAGTAATTCAAGAGAAACAAGGATTTAAATGAATATACCACAGGAATGTACCAAAATAAGAAATGAGACAACAGGACAAAGAGAAATACCAACAAAGATTAATTGAATTAAAGAGTTAAAATTGACAAAGCTTTCCTGGAAAAAGCAGAATAGTCACTACTGTTGTAAGAAATTAATTTTATATATACTGCAGTTTGAGATAACAGTAGCATGCATAATTCCAGCAATCTCAGAGACGGTAGATAAAAATAAATATTTAGCAATCTTCAACACAGAAATGGTGAAAGAATATCTGAGTATAAGAATCTGAAGTAAGAAAAGCCACAGAACACTCCTGAGTTTTTGTTAGAGGGCAGGAGAAAAGAAGACACAGAAGGGAATGGAGGAGTAGAGCTGAGAGAACCTAAATATTATCATCCCCACAAGGCCAGGAGACAATTAGGAAAGAGTCACCTCCAAAGAGCCAGAAGATGATTCTTCAAGGAAGACTTCTTCCCAAGAAGATTCTTACAGGAAGTGGGTAGGCCAAAGGGATGTCCCAGATAATGTCCAAGGACCACAGATAACAGAGCATTGAGGAAGGTGAGGATAATCACCAAATAGAGCACTGAATACATCAAGCGTATTTAAAAGAAAAAAAAAAAAAAATCACTGGTATTGGAAGAGGTTAGTTTGTTTTTGTTGTTATTATATTAAAACAACATTAAAGTCTACTAAAATAAGAGATACACTTGTTACACTAAAATAAAGTTAGAATGGAATAGTAAGAATTTGCTTTCATGAAATCTGAAAATAAATAAATATACTGTTGATTAATTTTTTTCTCTATAGTTTTCAAATCAAATAAGGTAGTCTTTTTTTTTTAATATGGCAAAGTCTTTACTTTTAAATTATTATCAGAACACCAAATAATAACATGTAACAAGTTATTGAGTCCTATAGTCTAGTAATTTTGTTTAAAATAAACTAAAAACAGCCCAAACAAGTATGTTAGTATTCATCATTCTAACCAAATAAGGTAATCTTAAATCACATCCCATATGAAGCTGAAGAATTTAGGCCTCGCAAAGCAATCCTTAGTGAGAAAAGTGAAGTAGGAGGTATCACAATACCACATTACAAATTATACTACAGAGCTACAGTAACAAAAACACCATGGTATTGGCACCAAAACAGGCATGCAGACCAACGGAATAGAAGACACAAAGATATACCTAATAAACACAGTTATCTCATAGAAGAAAAAGGTGTCAAAACCAAAGATAGCCTTTTTAACAAACTGTGCTGGGAAAACTGGAAATCCATATGTAGTAGAATGAAGCTTAACCCCTATCTCTCATCCCACACAAAACTTCATTCAAAGTGGATCAAAGACCTAGGAGTTAGACCAGAACCCCTGCAACTGTTAGAAGAAAATGTAGGGAAAAAAAAAGAAGAAAATGTAGGTCCAACATTTCAGAAAACGTTGGCTGAGGAACTGACTTCCTTAATAAGACTCTAAAAGCACAAGAAGAAGTAAAATTAAAAATAAGTAAGTGGGATGGCATCAAATTAAAAAGCTTCCTCACAGAAAAGGAAACAATTAAGAGTGTAAAGAGAGCCTACAGAATGGGAAAAAAATCTTTGTCACTTATACTTAGGTTAGGGCATTGATATCTATACAAAGAACACAAAAAACTTAACACCAAAAATACCACCACCACCACCAACAACAACAAAACCAAACCAAAAAACAAAGATACTCCCCCAATAACCCAATCGATAAATGGTAAAAGAAACTAAACAGATAATCCTCGAAATACAAAGGGTCAACAAATATATGAAAAAATGTTCAACATCTCTAGCAATTAGAAATGAAAATTAAAGCTGTACTGAGATTTTCTCTTACTCCAGTCAGAATTGCAATCATCAATACAAATAATAGTAAATGCTGGTGAGGATGTGGGAAAAAGGTATACTCATACATGTTGGTGGGATTGCAAATTACTGCAACCACTCTGGAAAGCAGTATGGACATTCCCCCAAAAAACTAGGAATGGAACCATATAACTAAGCTATCCCACTCCTCAGTATATATTCAAAGGATTTAAAATCGGCATACTACAGTGATGTAGCCACCTCAATGTTTATAGCAGCACAATTCACAATAGGCAAGCTATGGAGCCAACCAACATGTCCTTCAACAGATGAATAGATAAAGAAAATGTGGTATTATATAAACAACAGAGTATTACTCAGCCAAAAAAAAAAAAAAAAAAAAAAAGACTATGGCATTTGCCAGCAAATGGATTGAACTGGATACTATCATGCCAAGTGAAATAAGCAAGTCCCCAAAAGCCAAAGGTAGAATGCTTTCTTTGATATGTGGGAGCTAATCCAAAACAAAGGAGGGGATTAAAAAAAAAAAAAAGAATAGAAGGAAGATCAGTGGAGTAGACAAAGGGGAAAGAGGGAAGGGAGGAGAGATGGGCTAGGGAAAGACAGTAGAATGAATATTACATAACTTTCCTATGTACATAAGTGAATATATCACAGTAAATCTTACCATCACGTACATCCGTAAGATACTAATTAAAAAACAACAACAACAAAACGATGAGTAAATAGCAAAAGGAGTAGAGGGAAGAAAACAGGCAGAGGGAGGGAAGAAAAAGGGGAAACACCAGAGACTGAATTAGAACAAATTATATTCCATGCTTTCATAATTGTTAAAATGAATCCTATTGTCATGTATAACTAAAAACAACCGATTACACACACACACACACACAGAGGAAAAAAGAAAAAAGAATTTGATGGAGAACAGATCAATAATGAAAAAGGATAGGGAAGGAGCAAGAGACAGCTATGGTATAGTGTAGCAAGAAGGTAATGATGTACTTATGTGGAGAAAAGGGAAAGTTTGCATAATGCTCAAGTTCAGTAAATATTTATTGCAATAAATATGCAATATGTTGGGGCTACAAAGATGAATATGACATCACTCTTCAAGGGATTTATAGTCTACAACCTTGTTTATGGCCTGGGTGTGAAGCTCAGTGGTAGAGCATTTGCCTAGCATACACAATGTCCTGGGTTGGATCTGCAGCACCCAGCAAAAAACCCCAAAACAAACAAACACAAACCACCATTTATAATATAAAACATATATTTTTATTGTTTCTAAAAAAATAATAAAAAGACCTGAATAATGTAATTTGTTTTACCCATTCTACCTAGTTTTTTTTTTTTTGTTGTTGTTGTTGTTGATCACACAAGTCTGAGTTTTAATTAAAGAAAAAAAAATCTCCAAATTCCAAGATTACTTAAACTCTTAGATATGCATAAAAAACAATCTTACTTCTTTGGTGGTAAGAAAAAACTTCAACTCCTGTAAGCCTTACATCTAAATTTTAGGAGATGGTAGCCATGATATAATAGAAAGAAATATTCTCTAAATTCTTCCTACAACATTTCTGCTAGTAATCTGATATTTCTGACAAGACTAGTTAAATTGCCAATTTATACATACATTTTCCTATTTAGTTAACAGTTCTCATAAAACCAAACATCCAACAGTTAATGACATTTTGTTTTGGCTTCTATGGTACATTATTATGATTCATTAGTACTCACCAAATGGGACACCTTGATAGATCCTTCACAATTAGAAGGTTCACCTTTCTCTCTGCTTTCCAAAATCTAGACAGAAAAGGCAACTTGTAGAAAATTAGTGTATTCTTACTTTGAAAGATAAATATTGGGGGAAATAATTACATACCATCCTGAAAATAGTGTGAGAACGACTACTTCTTTGATTCATTTTTGTTATTCCATAATGTCTGTTCTCTGTAAAAATGAGTTATATTTCAGCTACATACATGTTAAAGTTCAAGAAAAACACTGATTTTATTTTAGCCTAAGTGCGATTTGAAGCCTATTTTATTTTAGCTTAACAATTAAAAATGGGATTATTGAAGTTTTTGTAAGCATTTTAAAGAAATACAGCAGTCTTACTTTCTCCTTTTGTGATCCACTGCAAAGCCATTTCTGAGGTATAAACCACTTCTTCTGTGAGATCAGCAACATACACATTCCTCTGAAACCAGTAATTATGGAAAGATTAGAAAAAAAGTCATTTATAAGTTTGCTTTTCAAAAAGATGGTATAAACTATTTCATAACTTGAGGAAGTTAAAAAAATGGATTGATTATTCTTTAAAAAAATAGCAAACAACTCTATGAATAATCACAATTCACTGTGTACATCAAAGCCTACCATCTTGCTATTTTTAGGCACTTAATCTATCAGTACTTTAAAACTACACAGATTGCTGAAAAAATGGATCTCTCTATAAACACTTGAAAACAACAAACAAACAAAAAACCATAGAAAAAGAAAACCAAAAAAAAAGGAAAGACTTTTAAAAAATATGCAGAGCAATTCCAATAAGTGAATGTTTTAAAGCCAGCTAACTCGAATACTCACATTGATGTCTTCCCGAATTATTAAAGGTTTCATTTTTTGAGTGTTACAGAGTAAATCTGTGATGATTTCATTGTATATCTCCATGTAAGACACCCGTAAGAGAAATTCTCTCTCAGGAAACTAGGAGGAAAAAAAATGTGTGAAAGCATCAGAAAGCATCCGTTTATGAAAATCTAATACTGAACGCTGACACATTATTATTAAAGAGGTAAGGAAGGTAATAATCTTTGTAAAATAAATAAAACCCATGGTTCTGTGTTCATAACAAACATAAAAATACAAAAGCATTCTTTTAGAAATAATGAAAAGTATGCCATCATGAATAAGAGGAGACCACCCAATCCAACTCTCCTGACTCAAAGTAAAACCCTAACAAGAGATGCTCTTATTTTAATGAAAACACTAACTCAAACCCAACTTGTAACTAGTTGTGTATTCTGATCTTCTGCTTCTCTCTCTCTCTCTCTCTCTTTTTTTAACCAACATCTACTTTTTATGCAGTAACCTGTGGGGATAAAAGTGAACCTTGTGTTATGCCTTTTTCCCTATCTCATGGAACTCAAGAGATAAATGTAAATTTGCCTCCTTTTATCATTATAAAAGAAAACTCTAAGACTGCTATCCAATTATTACTATTTTTACTAGGAAGTTAGCTAAGTTATTACCTTCTTAATTTTTTGGAAAATGTCATGAATTGCCCTGGGTATAACTCCCAAACAATCTTCTGAACCCATCATAGTATGTGTTTTTCCTGAAGCAGTCTGCCCATAGGCAAATATAGTGCCTATAAAACAAAATACACACATGCAAGGATTAAAAATAAATCTACAGTGAGTGAAACTGTCAATGCTTGTTGAGTAGATGCTCAAGACTAAAATGTTTCTACAGCATCAAAGGAATACAAACCATTGTAGCCTTGTATAGCAGAATCAATGATAGGTACTGCTATTTCCTCATAGACATTCTTAGTAGTTTCACTACTATGAAAGACTCGATCTAAGAAAACAAGAAAAACATAGATGTCAAACAAATCAACTGTGTTCTCACTCTGAATTAGCAATCACTCAAAGAAAAAAATTGTCAGGGACTAGGATGACAAGATATTTAAGAAAGTATTTTCTTCAACCTTTTTGTCTTCTGAAAATACACAAAGATAATGTGTTGGTCCCCATACAGAAAAAAACAAAAGTCACCTAACCTTTGTGTTTTCAAATGGCAGTAAGGCATAGTGGTGCATATGGAGCTCTGGAATCTAAGCTGTGTGACACTGACCAAGGGGGTTACTGTCTCTGTGCCCCAATGTGTAAAATGGGCACATATTATCATTATTGAATTATTGTAAGTATATGGTTAATACCTAGGAGATATGAACCATTACTGTGCTTAGAATTAAGGGTAGCTTTTGCACTGATGAGTTTGCCCTCCTAAGGTTTGATTTCTTTGCTTTTGCTAGGACACACAAAAATGGATCTTGGTTTTAATGGTGGCTCACAGGAAATAGATGTGTAAATTGGGAGGGAAACATACTGATTTGCCGTGAGAAATTCAGTGATCATGCTATTCTATCATGACCACATATCTGCCCTGCAGGCAGAAGTGTATGAGAAATCCAAGTGCCAACTGATGGCTGCTCAGGTGACATGATTTCAGAATGAGGAGAACTGGTAGATGACTCAAATTTTAATGCCTCAGGCAGATGGAGGAGTCCAAATCTTTGATGACCATACGTAGCCACTAAAACCCTATAGTACAGGAGTCTGAATGCTTGGGTATCCCTTAATTTGGATTTACAATGCCTGGCACAGACTGTTTTTACCTTCTAAAAAAGTATGCTAAGGGGCTGTGGTTGTGGATATTTGAAAGAAAGCAGTAGTAAAATTGTAGTAACCCAGGGATAAAAGTGAACCCTGTGCTATGCTTTTTTTCCTATCTCATGGAACTTTCCTATCTCAAGGTAGAGTACTTGCCTAGCATGTGTGAGGCACTGGGTTCAATCCTCAGCACAACATAAAAATAAACAAATAAAATAAAGGCATGTTGTCTATCTATAACTACAAAATTCTTTTAAAAAAATTATGCTAATACCAACAATCATTTACAAGCAATCATTTCATCTTCTATACTTCTCTGCTGTAAAACATTACTTATTGGTTTTGTGGTTTAACACCAACACTTTTATCCATTCTTAAGATTATTGAGCAGACCTGTTTTTGTCTAGATTTGGAAGCAGTTCTGTTAGCATGAATAGAACAGATTGGAGACCAATTCTTCCACTTGCTGATTGTGTGACTCTAGCCCTCTATTTTGGTCCCTCATTAAAATGGGAAAGCAACAGTACCTATTGCATAGATTTGTCAGGAAGATTAAACAAGTATATTAACATGAACTGCTTAGAACAATGGCTGGGACATTATATATGTTCAGTCAATGAAGAAATCAATTTAGTTACCTTTAAGGCCTCAAAGTCCTTTTGGCATAGCTAGCCTTCGTGTTTCATTGTAGCAGAACCTTTTTTGGATTATTGGACTAAATTAGATCCTCCACTAAAAATTCCCACAAAGCTTATCTCATCATGAATTTAATGCCTTTAGATAAGCTCCACAAAAGCAGAGATGAGTCCCTGATATATTTTAGCAGATAAAGAAGAAACTTCTTCATTAAGAGTTTGAAAATAATTGTAAAAAGAGTATACTAAATTGAAATATCTTAATGATGACTTGATACTGTACAATATACTTTGGTTTATGGAGTTTTACGCTATAAATAAATAAACGAAAGGAGAAAAACATTAGTTTCAGCTATAAGTTACTAAAATTATAACTGTGCTTTCAACATCAATTTATTATTATCTTTCTTTTCATCCATGATGGATAAATAATTTTTTTTGGTTCCAGTGAAGCAGTTTACAAATCTTTACTGATATACCTTTAGTACTCTTAATAGTAAAAGGATAACAGGCTTAACAGGCTAACTTTTTTTTTAGTTATAGATGGACACAATATCTTCATTTTGTTTATTTATTTTTATATGATGCTGAGGATCGAACCCAGTGCCTCACATGTGCGAGGCAAGAGCTCTGCCACTGAGCCACAACCCCAGCCCAGGCTAACTTTTGATGCTATTATAAGCTTACCGAAATTGAAGGATTTACTCCCATCAACTTGATAAATAGCATTATTGTCAGTTTTCCAGTAAACTTGTGTAGCTTCTCCAAGTTCTTCCTCTCTAAAAGGATAAAAACACTACATTTTAGTATAATATAACTGATCATAGAAGTCATGTTATAGGAAGGATAACTTAAAAGATTTCATGTTCTAAAGAACATTTTAAAAGATGGTAACAACTAGCCAAGTGTGATACTGTATGCCTATAACACCAAAGACTCAGGAGGTTAAGGTAGGAGGATCACAAGCTTGAGGCCAACCTTAGCAACTTAGCAAAACCCTGTCTCAAAATAAAAAAATGGTAGTGTCCCTGGGTTCAATTCCCAGAACCAAAAACAACAACAAAAGATGGTTATAACTTTTATCACATATATAAGGAAAAGATGAAAAGTCCATGTTGGAAGTTTCAGAGTTCAACTCTCTTAATAGGGGTTTAGTGATCTCCAGTCTGTGGGAGGCCATCCTCGAACGTGATTTGAGTTACCTCCTTGGCTGGGTGAGAGGCGCTTAGACACAACTGTGTTAGAGCCTTCTTACCCAGCCAGGGAGGTAACTCAAATCACTTTTGAGGATGGCCTCCCACACCAGTCCTCTCATGGGAGTTTCCTTGTGAAGCCCTTCACTTCCAACTTCCCACCCAGTACTGGCAGCTGAAAGGATAGATTCAAAATACAGCTCTGCTTGTCATCCTTCCTTAAAAAAAAAAAAAAAGAAAAAGAAATTAGGAAAACTATCCTATTCACAATAGCCTCAAACAAAAGAATACTTGGAAATCAACCTAACAAAATAGGTGAAGGACCTCTACAATGAAAACTATCGAACACTAAAGAAAGAAATTGATTGAAGAAGACCTTAAAAGATGGAAAGACCTCCCATGTTCTTGGGTAGGCAGAAACAGTCAAAATGGCCATACTACCAAAAGTGCTACACAGATTCAATGACCTTCTTCATAGAAACAGAAAAAGCAGTCATGAAATTCATTTGGAAAAATAAGAGGCCTGAAATAGCCAAAGCAATTCCTGGTGAGAGAAGTGAAGCAGGAGGCATCATAATACATGACTTCAAATTATACTACAGAGCTATATTAACAAAAACAGCATGGTACTAGAACCCAAACATATAGGCATGATTGGTCAGGAGAAAAAGCAGGAAGCTTTGGAAATGAGAGTTCTAGTCTTAGCTGGTACTGGGGTGGTTTTCAAGGAGCCATTTATCTTCTATGAACCTCAATTTCTCATCTGTAAAATTAGAGAACTGTATTAACTGATCTCCAAGATCAGTTTTTTTTTTCCAGTTTCACAGCATTATGATTTTTTGAATTTGAAATTAATATTTCCCAAACAGAAAGACTTAAGTATAATCAGGGCTGACATATAAACATAAAACAACAAATTCCATTGGAGTCAGGTGTGTCTTGTTGTTGTTTTAATTGCCAATTAGATAAAGGTGTGCATACTACCTAAACTGTCTCTATCCAGTGAGTAGATATATAAAAGTAAAGATATTCAAATTTGGAAGAAAAAAATACAACTCTGATTATGTCCTATTGCTTCAAACCTTAAAAACCTTCTAGAAACTTATGAAATACTTAGCATGGCACAGGACACATGGACCATGTCACTTCTCCCTTCAACCTCATTTTCCTCTAAATTCCTGCATACACCTTAAGTGTCAAACAAATCAACTAATCTGAAGCTGTTCCTAAAATGATGTTAGCTTAACCTCTCCATACCTGGATTACCATTGTCCTTCCCTTCCATTAAGTTACTTGCTTATTCTTCCATTCATGAAAAGTGTCAGGACTTTACAGCCACCAGCCTGCCTCACCCAAACTGTCATCTCTGATAGGCTAATGACTCCTCTGGCAAACATTCTCCACTGGGCCATCATAATGTATTGTAATGGCTTCTTTATGTAGTTATTTTACACCCAGTTAGAGAATGAGCTTCTTAAAAATAGAAAATTTAAAATCTTGACAATCTCATTTGTTAAAAAGACCGTAGTGTTTAATAACAATTTTTCAAATAGAAAAAGTGTTAGCATAGCATTCTGAGTTGAAGGCCAGAGGCTAGAAAAACCAAACTTAATTTCTCTTCTTGATTTTTCTTTTGATAGCATTTACTACTCATATATCACCACTTAACATTGTTTACTGTATTGTTTCCTCACACTAGGAGGAAAGATCCACAGGACAAGGATCCTATTATGTGTTTGAACTTGTGAATAAAAAAATCATTAGTAAAATTTGTTGAATGAATGGATGGATAAGGTCTTGGAGCATCTACTAAATGCAATGCAAGTCCTTGCTCTCAGAGAGTTTAGACAGCTAGTGAAGTGTAAAACAAGTAACTATGACACGACTTCTCCAGGGCGAGGAGATCAGGGAGGCACCGATGCCAGAAAGGAAGTGCAGGGCACGGGTGAAGGTCTTTACTGTCAGCAAGTCCGATTAAGATTTAAGCGAATCCCGCAGCTAGGACGTATCTTCTAGCTCTCTGATCCTTCCTGGTCACTTTACAGACGGGGAACAGTGGCACAAAGCGGGCAAACCGCGGAGTTACTAAGCAGCGGAGCCAGAAGGTAGCAACTCCAGGAAAAGCCAAGGAAGGTCTCTACCCTCCGACCCGGGCCGCGCCCGATGCCGCACTGGCGACCAGACCACTGTCGCGTCCACCTACCTGCTGCTGAGCGGCCGGACTCGCACGCAGACGGCCACAGCACCTTCCTCTGCCATCCTGCCAGCCTAGGTCCCAGGAAAATGATGAGGAAACTGGGAACCGCACCGCCAACACCCTGGACTCTTGGGCCGCCCCGCCTTTAAGTTTAAAAATTCCCAAACGCCGCATCTGATTGAGCCGCGGCCTCATGACGTCATGGACTGTTCCATTTGCAGCGCGGCGCCAGGGGGGAGGAGAGAGGCGCGCCCACCGCTCTCGAGTGGAGGGGGACTCTAAAGGTCTGGTTGCAGCCAGGAGCGGACCTTGGAGGCGGGGTCTGGGAAGCAGTTGCTTGGTAATAGGTGAAAAGGCTGTTATTTTCTAAAAGCCACTGAACACCTTCTCTTCCCTACCTCTCTCTATTTTTTTTAAATTGTTTTAATTAGTTACACACCACAGTACAATGATCTTGACATATCATACATTTGGGGTACAAATACCTCTCTTAAAGAGTTTGCAGTCTGTAGAAGAAACTAGGCAAAGATACGTAGTTTTTCCCTAACAGAAGAGAATTAACGATCTTAAAAAACGAGAATAAAAAACAGCCCTCCCACCACACTTACTTTTAAAAAATATCTCAGAGGACAAGGGTTGAAATTCACTGTCCCGTTCAGAAGTAGCCATTTGTGCTCCGTAGAATTTCTGCTTTTAGTTTTTTTCTTTTTCTTTATGTAACTTCCGTTTTCATTGGCTGTGAATTGCTGAGCTTAGGGAGAAGAATGACTGAAGGCTGGAAGAACTTATTTAGTAAGTAAGTGTTGAAATTTCTTTTTTTTAAAAAAATAATATATATATATATTTAGCTACACATAGACACAATATCTTTATTTATTTTTGTGTGATGCTGAGGATCAAACCCAGTGCCTCACATGTGCAAGGCAAGCACTCTACCACTGAGCCACAACCCCAGCCATAGGTGCTGAAACTTCAATTAACTGAAGAGAGAAAGTGCTTTAATTATCCACCCCACCCGCCCTGCCCCCAAAGTGCTTGATTTTCCTTTGTTTTAAATATATGTTACAGAAAAGTACCAACATGGTTTTTGTAGAAGTTTCAGTCATTTTCTTGATTGATTTAGGGAACATCAAGAATTATCCACACTTTCCCTCACTAAAAACATGACCTACAGTTACTAATAATTGTTCATTATAGAGTTGAAAACTCTACTTCAATACAAGTATTTTGGGAAGTCATTTGGCAATATTAATAAAAACTGAAGATTCAAATACTCTTTATGACAGCAATTATATTGAGAATTTATATCTAGATATATACATACAAAAGCCTATTAATTTCAGCATTGAAAATGCTGGGGATGTTGTTCAGTGATAAAGTACCCTGGGTTCAATCCCCGGTACTGCCCAATATCAAAACCCTAGAATTGGGATAAATGTCCCCCAAAGGCCTGTGTATTAAAGGTCATCAGTTTGGTACCATTGGGAGGTGGTAGATATAGGTTTAAGATGTGGGTCCTATTGGGAGAAAGTTAGGTGGCTGGGGGCATGCTCTGGAAGCATGCCTTCTTTGGGACCTCATCCCCCCACCCCCCACCCCCTCCACACCACATCTTTTGCTTCCCCGCCACTATGAAGTGAGAGCTTCCTTTGCCACTCACTCCCACCATCATGTACTGCCACTGGTCCAAAGCAATGGGCCAACTTATTATGGACTGAGACCTCCAAAACTGTGAGCCAAAATAAGCCTTTCCTCTTTGTAAGTTGATTTATCTCAGATATTTGTTACAGTAATGGAAAGTTGACTAACATATAACACAAAGTTAAAGAAAATATGTTTTAAGTTTTTTTTTTTTTTTAATTATGGGCAAATACCTATAATATTCCCCTCACAACCTGCTCAATCAGCAGCACATGTGTTGTGGAAGGGAAGGAGTCTATGAAGAGGAAGAAGGAATATGTAGTTAATAAAAGTCTCTGATGAGACAAAAGGGATTGATTCACAAGCAGAGAGGAAGTATTAGCCTTTCTCAGCTGTGCTTGTGACTGTTTCCATGGCTGTCTTTGTGGTCATCATCATAGCAGGCAACATTTATTGGACATTTACTATATGCCAGGCTTGTATATGTTTTACATCTCCATTTTCATTTGACCTATCAATTTTGTTCATCAAGAAATATTCATTGAGGATGAAGAAAATGTGGTATGTATACACAATGGAATATATCTAAATCTTGAAGAATGGAATTATGGCATTTGCCAGTAAATGGATGGAACTATTATGCGAAGTGAAATAAGCCAATCCCAAAGAACCAAAGGCTGAATATTTTCTCTGATATGCTGATGCTAATTCACAATAAGGGAGGGAGAAATAGAGGTTTTTTGGACTAAATAGAGGGGAGTGAAAGGAGGGGAATGAAAAGAGGGGAGGGGATATGCGGATAGGAATAATAGTAGAATGAACCAGACATTATTACCTTATGTGCATACATGATTACACAACCTGTGTAACTCTACGTCATGTACAACCAGATGAATGAGAAGTTATACTCCATTTATGTATGATGTGTCAAAATGCATTCCACTGCCATGTATAACTAATTAGAACAAAATGAAAATATATTAAAAAATAAAAATTTAAAAAAGAAATATTCATTGAGCTACTACTGTGTGGCAAATAGGAGGCATAAGAGTGAATAGAATAGATAAAGCACCTGTTGTCATGGAGCAGTTATTCTTTTAGAGGAAATGAATAATGCACAAAAATATCCATCTATCACTCTCTCTCTTTCCTTCCCTATCTCTGTGTCTTCACTCACACACACACACGCACACGCACGTGCACACACACATACACACACATACTTATATCATGTGGGGATGAATACTGAGAAGAAATATACAGGCATTCTGACAGACAGGAAGAGGAGAGGGAGGGAGAAAACACTCTTATAGGAAGATGCAGATAACACAGAATAAGTATATAAGTAAAATAACTGAGAGAAGGAAGGGTCATTTTAGATGGGATGTTCAAGAAAGATTTAGGGAGAGTACCTTTGAAATGAGACATATATGGAAAGAATTAGCCAGACTTGGGATGGCAAGGGACAGAGCTTACCAGATACAGGGACAATTAAATTAGAGAATCCAAGTCTTGTCAATTCATTGTGTTTCTGAGACACAGAAGGAAGGCCCTAATGGCTTAAGTATTTGTGGCAATGGAGAGAGGAGGTGGGGGTAGGTCCTGTGGGTCCTGTGGGCTGTGATAAAATATTTGAATTCTATTCTTATAGTGAGGGGAAGACTTTGGAGGATTTCAAGCAAAACAGTAAAAGGGACTCATTGATTTATTTCACTATGAAAATAGAAGCTTCTGGAGGAGACATTGCAGTAGTTTCTGTCAACCTGTCTACTTGCATTCGTCTACCTGCCTACTTGCATCTGTGCTCACAGACCTGTCTTCTTGGTTGTGAATGGATGAACTGTCTGTTCTCCATTCTGAAAGTCTCATCATGTGTGTAGAGAACCTGTCCTTTCCTGGTTGCTCCTTTATGTCCTCCAACATCATTTTCACCTGCTCAAATAAACAAGTCTATTCAGTAAACTTATATCTTATTTTCACCTATCCATTTTGGATATGTAATAGACATTGAAACTTAAACATCTAATACCAAATTCATGATCTTCCCCTTACCACCTGCTCAATCAGCAGTTGTTACTCTCAGCTGATGGCAATTTCATCCTTCTAGTTACCCAGGCTGCAAACTATGTTGTTGTGCTCTTCACCTTCTCCTTTTCCCTCCAAGTCTATATTTAGCATATTGGAAAATTCTTTTGAGGTTACCTAGAGAATATTCCACAATATGGCCATTTATCTCAATGTCTGCTATCTACCTGGTCCAAAATACATTGTTTCTTACTATACTTTCCCATCCTGCTGTCAGTTTATTCTTAGCATAACAATTGGATCTTTTAAAATATAAGTCAGGTCACTCCTCTCTCAAGATCCCCAGTGTCACCCCTCCACATCCCATACCCAATTTCTCTCTCAAAAAACCCCCCACAAAAACCCAAAGTCTTTCTTTTGGTTCTCAAGATCCCTGCCTCCTCTGCTCCTTTTCCCTCCACTAAGTTCCCTTCCCCTCACCTCTTGTCCTCTCCTCTCTTCTTTCCTCCTGGTGCTGGGGATTGAGCACAGGGCCTCCTGTATGTTAAACATGCTGTCTACCATTGAGCTACACCCTTAGTCCCCAATCTTGTCCCTGGTTTCCCCCCGGCTTTATGTCCTACCACCCTCCCCTTTGCTCTCTCCACTCTAGCTACACTGGCCCCTGGCAGCTTCTTGACTCCTGGACAGGTTGTCCTTTGTGCTGTGTTCTTTTGGCTGCAGACTCTTACCCCAGATATCCATGTTTCCCTCCTTCCCTGTGATCTGGTGTCTGTCATCTTTTCAGAGCTTGCTCTCTTTCTGTAAAATAGCAACTCCCTTGTCTGTTACTTCTGTTTCTTTACAAATATTGTTTACAACTATCAGAAATAATATGTGAAAAGTAATTTGTGTTTATAACACCTGTCTCCTCCCACTACAATTTCAACTCTGCAAAGTTACTGAAGTAGTTTTTATTTACTCCTTATCCCCTGCACCCAGAAAGATGCTTGCTATAAATGCTCAATTTAAAAAATTGCTTATTCAGTCACTCTATAAATACTTATAATGTAATTTTTGGAAAAATATATGGAATATTTTGGTGGAAATGGACTGAGTTGGGAAATAGATTTACCTTACATTGTATATTTTTCATTATTATTAATATCTAGACATATGAAGATTAGTTTCTCTCAAGTTAGAGACTTGAGTTAATAGATTTAAAGAGTACATAAAATAGAGTCTACTTATTCAGGATTTGTTTTTGTTGTCCAGCTTGAGCTTGTATGAACTACTCCTTTTTCACGACTAAAGTGGGAAGATGCTGGGCTGCATGTAATAATAGAAGTTATGTTTTAATTTAATTTGAATTATAAGTTTATAATTGTACTTGTCTTAAGTTATGGAACTTCTAGAAAGAAAGACTTAAAATTTAGAAGCCTATAATTTCTTTAATAAGTAATTTAAAATTTTGATTAACATTTTCATATCTAAA